GGCACGATTTTTGTTTCTTGGACCTCTCTTGGGGTGCCTCTCGGAACGTCTTGGGCTGATTTTGGAAGCCTTTTGGCGCCTCTGGGCGGCGTTTTGGCGCCTCCTGGGATATGTTGGGCCGGAAGCTCGGAATTCGAGAGTGGCTTTCTCCTTCTGGGACCCCTCTCGAAGTCGTCTTGGGGTTCTCTTGGGCCGTCTTGGGGCCGTCCTGAGCCACTCGTGCGCAGCCTTGGAGCGCTCCCGGAGGCCTCCTAGGCCGTCTTGGAGGCCTCTTGGGCCGTCTTGGACGCGGTGAAAGCCCAAGATGCGAACATGCGAAAAATATACGTTTTCCCATAGGATGGCACGATTTTTGTTTCTTGGACCTCTCTTGGGGTGCCTCTCGGAACGTCTTGGGGTGCTTTTGGGAGCCTTTTGGCGCCTCTTGGCTGCATTTTGGCGCCTCCTGGAGCCTCTTGGGCCGGAAGCTCGGAATTCGAGGTTGGCTTTCCCCGTCTGGGACCCCTCTCGAACTCGTCTTGGGGCTCTCTTGGGCCCGTCTTGGGGCCCTCTTGGGCCATCTTGGGCGCCTCTTGGGCCGTCTTGGGGCCCTCTTGGGCTGTCCTGGGGCCCTCTTGGAAGCTTCTTGGGCCGTCTTGGGGCGGTCTTGGGCGCCTCTTGGGCCGTCCTGTAACGTCGGAAAGCCCAAAAGACAACTTTGTTGAAAATGTACGTTTTACGAAGGGAATGGGCCAATTTTTGCGTTTAGGGGCCCTCTTGGGACGCGTGTTGGAGGCTTCTTGGGGCCTCTTGGGGGCGTCCTTGGACGTCTGGAGGCCATCTTCAGCATCTTGGAGACCTCTTGGAGGCCTCTTGGAAGTTTCTTGGGCCGTCTTGGGCGCTTCTGGGGCCGTCTTGTCTGACCGGGCCCCCCGGAGCCCACATTTGCGGTCGGGGTCCCGGCCCCGGGCCCCTGGACCCGGTGCGCCGTTATATGTACATGGGCACCGACCAGTGACCCATGACGTGAGACCACGACCCATGACAAGAGACAACGACCAAAGACCACGAGTAACGGCCAAAAAACAAGGCAAGAGACCACGAGCCACAATTTCTGGGTCGCAAGAACGGCCCACCGGCCGTAGAATCCAGATCCATATACATGTGTATATAGAAATATGTTTTGTAAGTATACGTGTGTACAAAGACATACACGCATACATACATATATCGTTGGGGCCGTTGCTGCAAGGGTGCTATATGGCACGAAAGACGTGTCCTTAGCAAGTTGACGAAAAGCCCTTCGAACGAGCTGACCGAACAACAGAAGACCATGACATGTTACTATATGCGAGGATGGACCTGCAAGCCAAAGTATTCGCCACTACCTGGCGAACATCATCCTCCACCTGCCCCGCACCCCCCTCGTGTATCGCCTGCTGCATCCTCCTCAATCTCCTGCTCCTCCCCGTCCTGTCTCCCCCGAGGGGGGGACGCACCTGCGCCGCGCGCGCCGCCGCTTGGCTCCCGGCGGGGGTCGCTGCCACACTTGCCTGGGACCACCATCACCCCAGGCATGGTCGCTGGACACATCAAAGCGCGGGGGAGAGTAAGAGGAGACAGCCCGAGGGGGGAAGGAGAGTGAGAGAGAACAGCTGGGGGGAGAGGGACGAGGGTGGGAGGGAGGCAGAGAAGTGTTCCTCATACTCCTCGTCTTCGCCGCCCCATTTTCCCCTGCCGACCTTCCCCTCCTATTCCTCACCCTCCCCTCCTCATGATTGTCCTGCTTCTGGCCGTCGTCTTCATTCTCATTGCCGTCGTCGTCGTCCTCCTCCAGAGGACAATGACGGAGGAGGAGGCGAAGGACGACGGGTCCGAAGGATAAGGGAGTGCACGAAAAAAGCGAGGAGAGGAAATAGAAGAGGGGAAGCAGGCAAAAGAGGGAGGGCATCATATTTCCGATGCTCCCAGCCTTCGGCCGATAAAGAAACTGGGGGTGGAGATGGGTGCAACTTTCGTTCTGCGATTGGCGACGCTCCGGGTTCTTAGCCCATCTTTCCAGCGAAGTCCCGACCGGTTAATCGATCTAGTATCGATCGATACCACGACTTATCCATCGACTCCGCTACGAATCGGAGGGTAGGGGGAGATAGAAATGCAGAGGAGCAGGCCCCCAACTGGTAAATCGGTTTGGGCTTCGGTCGCGTTGTGCGCAACGCGCGTGCGCAGGTCGTTGCGTGCGGCCGAGGCGAGAGTGCGCGAGGGCGAGGCAGATCCCGGCCTTGCTGGGACAACACGCCATCGCATTCATACTCAACCCCCGGCTGCGGAGGCCGTGGTGGTCCCGCCGTTGTCACGCGGATGAGACGATGGTTGCCCCATGGTTGTCCAGTGGTTGTGCTGTGACTCTTTCGTGGTTGGCCCGTTGTCATGTGGTTGCTCCGTTGACTTCCCTGGTTGTCAACGGTCCCCCTGGTTTCCCGTGGTTTTCTCACGTTTGCACCCTGTGGGGCAGATGGTTGAAATCGATTGATACATGGATAAATCGAGGCATGAATACTGGGATGGATGGATATATATATAAATATAAATATATATATAATATATATATATATTATATAATATATATATATTTATTTATTTATGTACATATACACACAAGATGCTGGGACCCTGGCTCTGGACCGCTGCCCCACTTGTACATTCTGGCCCCCGCCTCCCGGACGGCTCCCCCGGCCGACTCATGGACGTCCGAGACCGCCCACAAATGATCCGGGGACGCCCACAGTGGTCTCGGCACCGACCAAGTGGCACCCAGGAGACACCGAGGCGGCCACGGAGACCCAGAAGAGTGCCCACAAAAAGGCCCCGAGAGGCTGCAAACTGTGGTGTCCCATGTGTTTCTTGCATGGTTTTTGGCCTGCACACATTTTTGATGTTCCGATGTGCTGAGACGACCCACGACGCCCCCAAGATGGCCTCAAGGCGGCCTCATACGCCCCCCAAAAGGGCTTTCAGACGGGATAAGAGGCGTGAGTGGGGCCGTGGGACACACAAGTAGATACACGAAATTAGCCTGACGAAACACCCAACCATATGCAGGTCTGAGTACCGCAATTGTGATTCCCTTTTTCGGTGGTGGTCTCTATGAGGCAACGAACCGTGCTAGGGGTGTGCCGAAATGAGTGGCGTGGTACACGACGCGAACGAACGATTGATCTGAGTACGTAGGGAGACTGAGCACGGGTGAATATGAGCGCGAGTGCGTCTGACTGTGAATGAATCTGCGTGCGAGCGAGTCTACGTGCATGAATGCGACTTTGACAAAGCATGGTGCAATTGTATATAAAAGTCAGTAGTTTGAGAATGACTGCCTTTGGGTACTCGTGACGCTGGGCGTGGCCGCCGCAAGGAGTTTCCCCGGGACTCCCCGATGGCATCGCCCGCGCGCCGCGACGCCACCGCGAGGATCGCGCCCGCTTCCTCCCCTTCACTTACTCCCTCTTTACCCGCGCACTCAAAAGTCCAAGGCTGCGGGCGCAGCGCAGCGCGGAGTCCCAGCGACGCGCGCAGGTCGCCCCGGAGGGGTCCCAGCGACGCGCGCGGGTCGTCCGCTGCGCGCAGCAAAAAGAGCTAGCTGGCTGGCTGATAGCGGGCAAGGCTCTTGCCGCTGGGCAGAGCGACGACGGGCGAGCGAGGCGCGGAACTCCGACGGCCTCGAGCGGAGGTGTACTGGGTGGGGGAGACGCATGCGGACTGCGCCACGGGGACCTTCGGTGGAGCTCCCTATGACGCCACGAAACGTGTGAGGGGTTGCCCGAAATGGGTGCGCGGGACGCAAGCGGGCACACCCACTGGGACCTTCGGTGGAGCTCCCTACGGGGCCACGAATGATGTGAGGGGTGTGCTGAAATGGGCGTGCGGGACGCATGCGGGCACACCCGCTCGGACCTTCGGCGGAGCTCCCTGTGGGGCCACGAGACGTGTGAGGGGTGTGCCGAAATGGGTGTGCGGGACGCATGCGGGCACACCCGCTCGGACCTTCGGTGGAGCCCTCCATGGGGCCACGAAACGTGTGAGGGGTGTGCCGAAATGGGTGTGCGGGACGCATGCGGGCACACCCACTGGGACCTTCGGCGGGGCTCCCCATGGCCATGCGGCCACAAAACGTGTGAAGGGTGTGCCACGCATGCGGGCCACTGGGACCTTCGGTGGAGCTCCCATGGGGCCACGAAACGTGTGAGGGGTGTGCCGAAATGGGTGTGCGGGACGCATGCGGGCACACCCACTGGGACCTTCGGTGGAGCTCCCTATGGGGCCACGAAACGTGTGAGGGGTGTGCCGAAATGGGTGTGCGGGACGCATGCGGGCACACCCACTGGGACCTTCGGTGGAGCTCCCTATGGGGCCACGAAACGTGTGAGGGTGTGCCGAAATGGGTGTGCGGGACGCATGCGGGCACACCCACTGGGACCTTCGGTGGAGCTCCCCATGGGGCCACGAAACGTGTGAGGGGTTGCCGAAATGGGCGTGCGGGACGCATGCGGGCACACCCACTGGGACCTTCGGCGGAGCTCCCTATGGGGCCACGAAACGTGTGAGGGGTGTGCCGAAATGGAGGAGGGAGGGGGGCAGCGGGAGGAAGGTGGGAACGCGGGGCGCTGTCTCTTCAAAACGAGGACCCAACACCACAGGATGGTTGGGAAAAATCCAGATCCCCCATTTCTGAAACCGACGGGAGGTGCCGCCGCCCCCTTCTGTTCGACCCCCTCTCTGCATCTCGGGGCCGCCCCCCTCCCTGGGTTCGAACGCCCTCCCTTCCCAACGTCCACACAGCACGCTCTCTCCGCTCGTGACACCCCCCATCCTCAGGTCGAGGGAGCATCGTGGACCTCCTCGCTGGAGGTGACCCCCCCCCCGGTCGTCGTGGTGTCGCGGGGGCCCGTTTCCCTCAGGACCCCTTCCCGCATGGCGCAACGAGGGAGGAAAGGCGGGCCACGCGGCGGGGGCCGCCGCCCGGCCTGCACCGACCTCGTCGGGCTGAACCCCCGCGGGTTCGGGTTCACCTGCCGCGTCATCTCCGGTATCCGCGTGTGCTCTGGCATCCTGCGCTCCGCGCGGCCGCCGCCGCCATCCCCGAGCTCTTGGGCCGTTGCCCCTGCATGGGGAGGAGGGGAAGGAGTCCCCCCTCCTGCCCTCCTCTTGCCCCCGCGCGCCTCACTGTCCAGTCCCTGCCTCTTCCATGTTCCCTCCCATCCCCCTGCCTCACAGGCTTGCGCCACCGTTCGACGACGACCTGCCTGCGTCCTCCCGCACTTCTGCTCCTCCTCTTCCCTTTTCCGCCGCCATGCTAACTCAAACCAGTCTGCCTCAGGTCAGACATCTACCAGGCCAACAAGCGAAACACCGAACCTCCCAAACCCAACCCAAAGTCCCAAACTCCGGGTTGGGGGGCGTGCGGGTTCACCCCGTAATTTTCCCCATGTTCAACGAGGCCCCCCACTGGAATGACGGGCAACCTGGGGCCCCCAGGTTGGGGTGGAGTGGTCTGATGGGTAATGCTCCTTTCCTCCCCGTAACTATGCTGGCTTCCGTTTTTCTGGTTCAGGTCAGACAGCTGTCAGGCTCGCTGGGCAAGAGCAGCTGCCACCCGGGCCGCGGGGCGAGCGCCAGCGGGTCCGTACCATGGCCTCACGAACAGCCGCAGGCCAGGCTGGGCGGCCCGCGAATACGATGGCCGACGACATCGTGCAGGCTCAAGTCCAGGCGAAAAGAAAGCTACGGTCAGGTTCGTGTCGTGACGACTCGTGTGTTGGTGCCTGACACCGCGTGGAACGTCTCACCTTGAACGGGAACGGTCGCGGCTTTCTGAAAGCGCCGATCGCTCGACAACGGCCAATTCTGGATCGCTGGTGGCGCTCAGCCATGAACGCCCGCACAGGGGTCGCCGCCGCGCCGGCACGACACGAGCTTGCTGTAGCCGCGAGCAGACCATCATCACGAAAATGCGCTTGCCCATGTTAAACAAGGAGGAGCCCATCACACACGAGGTCGAGGACTCGCACACCGCCGTCGAAGGGCGTCTGTCGATCGTGCATGGGCGGGGGAACGAAAGCATTGGAATTGCAGGCCGCCGCTACCAAGAGTTGTTTCGTCCGGCGGGCAGCACGAGCTGCAGGACACGGAGACGAATGACAAACGGACAGCATTGACCATCCTCGGCGAAACACCATCGACGATGTGCGACAACGAACGGGAAAAAGGACCCCAAAGATGTGTGCCACCAGCGCGACGGCAACGGATCTCGTGGGTGCGGAAAGCGTCTCACAAAACCTGGAAAGAGGCTACCTGGAAAGAGGCTATATCGCTGGCATCACATCGAGCCAAACAGTGCTCATTCTTCTTGAGAGCAGAAAGTGCACAACAATCAAAACAACAATGATGATGCCAAGAACGAACTATACTGGATGAGCCCCCCAAAAAAACAATGCGGAACCCAAAAAAATGAGGTGACGGAGATTCTGCTCCCGTGGGCGGCGGTGCCCGGGGCATCGTGCGCACGGCACCTGCAGACCCCCGGAACTTGATGCGTGGGGGTGGCTGCGGGCGGACAACTCAGAAGAGGCCAAGCGCCTGAGCCCAAATTGCTACAGATGTCGAACCGGAAAAAAATACACATTCGCGTTGACCTCGGAATCACAAGGGCGCCCCCCTGATAGAGGTGGATCATCTCCGCCTGGTCCTCCAAACCGCACCCCTCCGACTGCTCGATCTGCCCCACCTCCCTGTCGTTTGCAATCTCCGCGCGCCCCTTCGCAGCGATGGGGCGCGACGGGGAGATCATGGCGCGAAGGGCCCACGCGCCCTTGCCATTGCCCGGTTTTGGCCTCCCGCGCCCGCGCCTCGCCCGCAAACCTCCAAAGGCCTCCGTCACCCATGGTGCCTCCTTGCTCGCTTACCCACGCTGGCACCGCGCAGCGCGCCCACTACTTCGGCTTGGAGGGTGTCGAGCAGAGCGGGCGCGCGTACGTGATGTGGTTAAATCGACCGGAACCGATGGTGAAGTCCGCCTTATCTCCCAGATGCTTGTCCTTCCAGACAGATCCCGAGATCTCTTTCAATCGGACGTTCGGCACCGCAACGCGATCAGCATGCTGCCTGATATCCGCCTCCACGGCGTAGTCGATAGGCTGGGTCCGCTGCAACGGCGACTTCGTCATCCGTTTCTCCGTCATATTGGACCATTCGAACTTCAGCTGCCTGTCCCCGGCATGAGCCAGGAATCCTTATCACATCATATCAGCATGATGATTATATCCTCGGCACCTGAAGCACATGTAGCGGCACTTGCGTAAGGGATGCGCGAGCGTCCTCGGGCACTCGCCGCCAATGGCCTTGGTGGCGTGCTCGTCCGCGACGGCAAAGCTGATACTTCGGAACAATGGAAGATCATGCATCAACACATCCGTAGGCCAGACGAAGAGCGATACAACAAAACGCTTCTGCTGAACAGCGGTTGCACGTGGCCGGGTTGGCCACAATCGCGTGACCGCCACCGAACTTGTGCGTGCATCCGGCCTCCTTGCCCAACGACGCAGACCGCATCTCGGGAGTCATCTTGGAGGTCACGCGTCCTCTCCGGCCCTCTTGCCAACCCTCTTCGCCAGATTGCGAGCTCGGCGAGAAAGAGACTCTGCCAGCCCAGCGGCCGCTCTAGAAGATTCCACCTGGCTCCCGTCCCGGAGGGTCGTACAGAGCGTTGCCTAAAACAGGGCTAGGATCGGGATAAATCGCTCCAGAACGTTCCGGAGCGCTCTCAGAGCGTTCCGGAACGCTCTGGGGCGGCCGCGGCGCCCAATACATCCTCCAAACCCGCCGATCCTCAGAGATTTCGAGTTATCCCGATCCGATTTTGTCCCGATCTTCGCGTCGTCTGATTGCCCCACGACCCTTCTCCACGGTCCCCTGCCTGGCAGCCTGGCTCCCGTCCTAGAGGGTCGTACGGAGCGCTGCCCCGCACTCGCGGCCCTCCTCCGCGGTCCGCCGCCTCGGCTCCCTCCGTCTTCCACCTGCGCGGCGGCATGGCGGGCGGCAGGAAGGCGGAACTTCTTCGCTCCGCCGCGGCGCGGCGTCGAGGGCGCAAGTCCAATGGCGCAGCGCCCAAGCGTTAGTCAGAAACGGCCGAGTTCCTAAACCCAAACTGCCACAGACGTCAGGCAGGACAGAAGATACACACTGATGCAGGCGAGCCGGGCCGGGCGAAAAGGGGGGATAGCAAAGGGGGGGGGGTGAGAATCAGCTCACGCAGATGATTTTCCCGGCGCCTCCCGGCGCTGGACGGCGCCCATGTATCGAGGAATGGGCCTGGCGGCGGGGCCGAAGCCAGCTGCATGCAGCAAATTCCGTAACCCCCCCTTTCCCTATCCCGCCCTTTCGCCCGGCCCAACATTAGCTTCCAGGTTGCGATTGGCGGCGGCAATGGTGAGGCAAGCGACATCATCGAGAGGAAGGACGAGATTTGCGACACCCTCGACTCCGTGAGCTTCTAGGCCGACTTTGGCGGCTCCAGCGGCGAGGTGACCTGCATCCCACAGAAGGAGGTCGAGGCCAGCGATAGCGTCGACGAAACGAAATTTCATGCCATGGTTGGCAGTGGTAGCGACGAGGTCAGCGAGACCTTCGAAGGCGACGAGATGGCCTTCCACGTCGTCCCGTCCTTCCTCGAGCTCGAGGAGGGCAGGGGGGTTCCCGAAGGCGTGGCCTGGCCCTTCCATCGTGTGGTTCGCCAAGCGGAGGCAAAGGCCAAGGCGGCGTCCTCCAGGGCGACGCCGGCGGCCACGAAAGCTGCTGGAGTGACGCTGAGCGAGGGCTGGCCGCGCCAGCGGCGGGATTGGAGGGCTTGCAGGGTGGGGCGCGCGGGCATACCGTCATCGTGGAACAATGAGAAAGAAGGAAAGGATAGAGCATTTCTAACCGACAGGTTCCCTGGCTGAGTGGAGACTAATCTGAGAATTTACGGCAAACTAAAGGGCCCAGGCGACATTTGGACACCCGAAATGGGTACGGAAAAGATGGGCACAATGCCCAACAACAAACGTTGCCCCAAACCAACAGCGGCCGCTGTTGGGCGGGCGGCCTTCTGTCTCAAATGGGCACAGGCCGCGGCAGCGCGGACAGCGAGTCCTGCTCAAAATGAACAGGAACTGCTGTTGGGCATTGTACCCACTCTTTCCGTACCCATGTCGTTCGTGCCGAGGACAGACGTCCAAAAGGCTGGGGACAACTGACCTCCTGATGTTTTCCACTCGCGGGCCCTGGGCCCCCGCACCGAAGTCAGACTCCGAGGACGACGACGGCGGCAGTGGCGACGAGGGCGCCGACCGACCGACGACGGCGACGACGACGGCGACCTGCGCCCGCCGCTCCTCGCAGCAGGCCGCTCGACGGAGAGACCGGCGGTGCGCTGCTGGGGCCTTCGTGCTGCGGCGGGCGGGGGAGGGCACAGACGATCGAGCTGTCCACCCCACGGGCGCGGGCGGGCTCCGGCGGACGATCCACCGCGGACTCCAGGCCCTCTCCGAGAAGCCAGCCCAGGCTAACTAAGCAAGACCTCGCGGCAACAATGAGGGCACCCAGGTGGAGTCGGGCGATGCTGAATGGGAGGGCATTGAGCAAGAGGGGGGTGCACCTCCGAGGCCCCGAGGGGGCCGCTCTGGGGGCCAATGCCTCGACGCCGCCCCCGCATGGATCCCCCCCAATACGAAACACCCGAACAGGGATATCCCGAAGCGCTCGGGCGCACCTTAAAACGGATTATGGAACATGAGGTTAGTGCCGCCCCGTTGGGCAACGGAGCGCGCCGGGTCTGTACGCAAACGAAGCCCGTCGTTGATCCACGCGCCTTGCGCCATGTTTGCGTTTCCTGGATCCTTTCCCTCCTTCTCATCCCAGCCTCCCTCCTCCTCGTTCTCTCCTCCTGTGCTCCGTCCCCAGATACCGTTCCTGCTCGCGCGACAGCGCCCCGCCGGGGGCGGGCGGCGGAGCAAAAGCATGGCCCGACGAAGAGGAGGGCCAAACGAGCGCGGGGCCCTGCGAGGATGCCCAGCGAGATCCCCCGCAGGGGCACCCTGAACGAGCCCCCGCCATCAGCACAGGCTGCACGCATCGGTCACGGACGTTGTCGTCGGTGCGATGCTGACGGCAGGTGCGGTGCACCCGCCTCCCCCCCATCCAAGGTACGCACGGAGGGTCCGAGCTGCTTGCACAGAGGAGCGCACATGCGCGAGCACTGAGCAGCGACACGAGCAGGTCGGCACTCCGAAACGGGCGGGTCGCGAGAGGCCGCAGGGGCAGGCGGCGGGCACCCGACTGTGACAGGAGGTGCGGTGGAGCGACCGCAGGTGGCACACCGAGAGCCAAGAACTCCTGGGCCCTAAAGCTGCAGCCCCAGATCGCAAGAGCCCAGAGCCGCCCAGAGCCCAACCACGCCCCCGACAGATTCCGACTCGGGAGATGCACGTTGCCTCTAGCTGCGCGCGCAGCTGCTGGATCAGCGTGTCCTGCGGGGGCAATCTGACGTGCGGGCGGGCGGGCAAGTGCGCGCGTGCGCGAGCGCGCGGGCGTGCGGGCGCGTGTGCACGACAAGAACGACGACGACCACCACCGCCGCGACTGGCACGGCGACGACGAGGAGCAGGTTGAGCGTCGACGGCGGCGACAGGGACGCTGGTCGACGACAGCGGCGACTGCGGCGACAGGCGACGACGGCAATCACGACGGAAACGAAGCCGTAGCTGCGACGACGCGCCGCAAGGCGCCGCGGCCTGTGCTGCGGCGTTGTGCTCAGCGGCGACGGCGCGGCGGACTCGGCGAGCCCGCGCGAGGCGCTCGGCGGCTCGCGCGCTGGGCGGCTGGCACTGGCGGGGCCGCCCGGCAGGGTGCGCTTCGGCAGCTGGCGCGTGGGTGGCACCGACGCACCGGCGCCGCCGCCATCTCCGCCGCCGCCGTCGCCGCCGCCGCCGTTGTCGCCCGACGTCGCGTCGTCGTCGCCGCCGCCGCCTTCGCCTCCGCCGCCGCCGTCGCCCGCGCTGCCGCCGCCGTCGTCAGCCGACGTCGCGTCGTCGTCGCTGTCGCCATCGTCGTCGAGGATCGGAGATCAAGGGTGCTGGCCACTCTTGGGCGCCTCTTTGGGCCTCCGAGGGGCCCCAGAAACCTCCCGACGCCTCGCGTGGACCTCCAGAGACTTCCGGAGGCGGCCGCCGCCGACGCTACCGCCGCCATCGACCGACAACGACGCCGACAAAGACGCGGGGGGCCAGCCTGCATGACCGTCGCGCCCAGCCCTTCCGCTGGTAGGGCCGCCGCAGACAGCGCGGCGCCTGGCCCGCACGGGCCGAAGGTGGAGGGAGGCTTTTCCTCCGCGTCCTTCTCCTCACACCGCCTTGCTGCCCTTGCTTCTGCCAGGATCCGTTTGGAGCGGATCCCTGGGACCACTCCCTCGACGAGCCGCGGCCCTTCGGTCGCGTCCTCAGTCCCGACAATGGCCCGATGACACCCGATAAATCCTAAGGAGCCCGCTTCCCCTCTTCAGGCTCTCGTCATCCTCGTAATAATCATGATCGTCGTCGTGGCAACATCGGCCAGGATTCAGAGATCACGTGTTAATCAGCAATCAGCGTGGCGGCGTCATTATTCGAACGATGCATCCCCATCTCTATCACCTCCTCCTGTTTGACGCCGACCCCCCGTCCCGTCCGGGAACGGTTGCTGACCATGCTCGTGGTGGGGATCCATCCCCGCCTTGGAAGCCGAGACATGCGAGAAACATCAAAATCCACATCCTTCCTGCCCACCTGCCCAACGCTGCTCGGCAGCTCGAAAAACACGGTAGTGCGAGGGGGGGCCCTGAGCAGACAGTGGGTTTCTTAGAAGGACTTGGAGGCTTCTAGGGTGGCTCTTTAGAAGGCGAGAGCCAAGCATGGAGCCTGGCGCCCTGGACGGCGCATCGGCAGAGGGAGCGCCGCTGTACGCCCGAGACGCAATTGGCACACTGCCAGCGGCACTGCTGTCGGGCACGCGCCAATATGGGCTACCGATTCGTGCACCTGGCGCTCGACCGATCGGCGTACTTGCCCCCCGAAACGTGGCTCGAGTACCGCCTGAGTTGGCGACGGAGCGCACCGAATCTTTCTGGGAGCGGGGCTGGTCTCTCATCCCAGCGCCCTAATCCCATCTGCGCGTCCTCGAAGCTGGGAATTCCCTCCCTCCCTTCCTTCGGCGGCGAAAGCGGGGGGAAGTGAGAGGGGCAGGCCCTATCAAAGGCGGCAAGGTTTCTCAGAAGCCCCCGCGCCTTCTGAAAAAGTCTTGCAGGCCCTCTCGAAGGCCACGGGCGGCGTTTCAGAAAGCACGGGGACTCCTGAGGGTATTCGTCGCTTTAGAAAAAGACCTGCCCCATTTCACTTCCCCCTGGGCTCGCCGCCGACTCCTATGGGGCCTCCATTTCACCACCCCCACTTCTGCGCACCCCCATGCTGGTGCTCGGTTGAATCAAAACGGCCACACTGCCGAGGCTGACCATGGAAACGGCTGGGGGCTGCGGCCAGGTTTCGCGCTGCTGTCGGCCTGCCCCTTGGAACAAGACAACCGCATGGAAAAAACAACTAGCACTTAATAACATTTATCGAAGTGAAGGACCCCACCATGTGCCGCAATTGTGGACATCTTAATTCGTGACACTCCCTATGGGGCCACGAAGCGCTGCACTGGGTGGAAGGGACGCTGTAGTTGGTGGGTGGTGTGCCAAAGTGGGTTTCTGGGACGCACGCGGACGGTGCCACTGGGGGTTTCCGCGGAGCTCCCTATAGCTACTAAGCGTTGCACTGAGTTAGTGAAAATGCCACATTGGGTTTCTGGGGCGCACGCGGACGGTGCCACCTGGGGTTTCGGTGGAACTGCCTATGGGGCCACGAAGCGCTGTACTGGGTGGGTGGAAATTCCACATTGGTTTTCGGGGACGCACGCGGACGGTCCCACTCGGGGTTTCGGTGGAGCTCCCCATGGGGCCACGAAGCGCTGTACTTGGTGGGTGTAAATGCTACATTGGGTGTTTCGGGACGCATGCGGAATGTGGCCCTGGGGGCCCCGGTGGAGTTCCGTATGGGGCCACGAAGCAATGTATTGGGTGGGTGAAAATGTCAGATTGGGTGTTTCGGGACGCATGCGGACGGTGGCCCAGGGGGCTTCGGTGAAGCTCCCTATGGGGCCACGAAGCGTTGCATTGGGCGACTGGAAATGCCAAATTGGGTGTTTCGGGACGCACGTGGACGGTCCCACTGGGGGTTTCCGTGGAGCTCCCATATGGGGCCACGGAGCGCTGTATTGCGTGTGCGGAACGCACGCGGGCGGTAGCACTGGGATTTTCGGTGGGGCTCCCTATGCGGCCACGAAGCGCTGTGCTGGGTGTCCGGGGCGCATGGGGACGGTAGCACTGGGGCTTTCGGTGGGGCTCCCTGTAGGGCCACGAAGCGCTGTAGTGGGTTCAGGGAGGAGGAAACACACCCAAGATGAAAACGCTGGTCCTTGGAGAGGCTCTGGGTCCAACAACCGTTTCCCTCAGGGCCAATTCCCCGCATGCCAGACGTCCTCCCTGCTGTGCGTCCTCGGTGGCTCGATGTCGTGGACTCTGCATTGGCCCCGCCTCGTAGCTTCGATGACATGGTAACAATAATCGTGTGTATCGAAGCTCCGCGGATCTGGTGCCAGTTCACAGGGACCTTTGGGTAGATATCTTAGGATGTCTTCTGTTTTTACCGGGCTCGGTTGCCACACGCTCATGGGCCCTCCGAAGACAAGCGGCAGCGGAGAAAGGCAGCGAGAGAAGCGAACATAAACATGGAACGTGGGAAGGCGTGCGTCGACAGAGAAAGGACGAAGGGCAAGTGGCAAATTGTGACATGTTGCACTCATTAGTTCTGCTGTCGCCAAAAATCTCCCGAACGATCCCACAAATTCCCTGCTCTGTAATTTACTCAGAGCGCGGTGGCGAAACACGGAAAACGCAAGCATGGAAATGAAGTCGCGCCATTTCATGCGTGACACCGAAACCAAGCGACTGAAATACAGGCATCCATTCACTCAGTATGCTACACCGCTATCCGTTCGCAAACCCAAGCGGTTCCTAGATGGAATACCTCGTAACTGGATCGGAGGTTTAACTTTGGTCAACTGATCCGCAACTTGCTTGCCGGTCGGCGCCCAGAACACGGATAATTTCGGATTCTCATCATCAAACTCCTCGACAACATGAGCGAACAGGGTTGTCGAGGGAGCCACTTCCTTTGTCAGTGTGTCGCACAAAGACTTGCAATCGGTGGCCACCTCAATTGACATGACACTGTCCGGCAACTCGCCAGAAATGCCCGGCTGGAAACTCTGAAATAGCAACTCGGCAAACCAATGACGAAAAAAACGCGCGGCGTCCACGCCCGCGCCCATCGCCCGGCAAAACCCAAATCCTGAAGCAGATTTCCCGCCGCCACCCGACGCGCGGGCGACCGCGAGAGGTCCGGGCAGCTAGCCGCCGCCTTGGGCCGGCCGCGCCACCAGACAGGGAAGAGGGAGACGAGCAGGTCGGTCATGTGACGAGCCCCCTCAACCGTGCGCCGATGCCTACGGCCACGAGGATCGGCATCTTCCCGAGCTGCCCGACATGCCGCATCCACGACAGGCAGCGGCATGGGACCCAAGCCCGCGGTAGATTCGCACTTTCAAGTCGCATTGCGGTGCCAATGCATGAACCTTCCCAGCGGCGTGCCCGCGAGGACCCTGTCTGAGCGCCAGACTCTCCATCGCCCCATGGGCGCGCCTCCTCGGCCAGCAGCTCGGCCTGCTAGCTCCTCTCCTCGTTCTTCTCGTGGCCCTTCTTCTTGTCGCGCGGCAGGGTGCGAGAGCCCTCGGCCCCCGCCCCCGCGTCGGGCCCCTTCTGACCCGGGCGCCTCCAGCTCCTTGATGTAGGCGGCCGCCACCTCGGCTTCGTTCTCGTCGCCCGCGAACGTCTGGCGGCTGAGGGGGTCGGCGAGACCCGACTGCGGCGAGCCCGCCTTCCACGGGCCGCCGTTGATCGCCACCTGCTCGAGAGCCTTCATCCCCTGCACCAGATGGGCGTGGGCCTCGTCGAACTGGCCGTTGCCCATGCACTCCAGCACCGCGATGAACATCGGGAAGCCCTTCTTCAAATCGTAGAGCTCCTTGCCCCAGGGAACGTGGCGCTTCGCATAGTACGTCCACAACATGCCGCGCTGCACCCCGAGCGCCCACTTGATCTCGGCCCAATAGCCGCGCACGACCAGCAGCGGGTGCTTCCTCACTCGGCCCCGTCAATTTCCTCATGCTCCGCACCGCCTTGCCGTCCTTGCCAGCTATTGCGTAGCTCTGCCCGATACCCTCGGCCTCGTCCGACGAGTCCTTGCCCTTCTTGCCTGCATCCAGCCGCTCCAGCACCTCGAGCATCCGCAACTGCAGCAGCGACTGGAGGCTCGACGCGTCCAGCCCCGCCGCCGCCGCGCTGGCCGCGCCAGCGGCCGTCCGCTGGCCCCCTGGCCTGCGGCTCCGCCAGGCTGCCCGGCCTCCGACTCGCTCTCTGAGAGCTGGCGGCGCCGAGCAATCCGCTGCGCCCGCGACGGCGCCGGCGGCGGTGCCTCGGCCTGGGCCTCCGACCTCCGCGAGCTGCTGCAGGCGCCGCGCCGCGCGGGCGATCGGCCGATCGAGCCCTGCGGGTCCGCCGTTGCTCGCCGCCGCCCAGTCCCCTCGCCCGGACGCGGCTTGCGAGCGCTGGCCTGCGGCTGCGGCGACAGGTCCGCCTCTTCGGTCGAAGTGTGGTGTCCGCCTCCTGCAGCCTCCACGCCCGCGGCGAGAGCACCTGGTCCGAAGCTCCTCGATCCGAAGTGGATGTTGTCGTCGTTCCATAATTCTGGGACCGTCGCTCTCAGCCCCCGCTTGGCCACGACCACGAAGCACACCGTCGCCGCAACTCCGTCGATATCGTCGACGCTCGCCCCGGATGGGCGGCCCCGATACTCCGAGCAGCCAGCGCCGGCACTGCGAGCATCGCGTGGTGGTCGTGGAGCTCCGCGACCACGCCGCCGACGCACAGCACCTGGCGCCTGGGGCCGTCGCCGCCCGCCAGGCGCGTGTAGGCCTCCGCGCCCACCTCGAAGGCCATGCCCTTCGCACCGGCGTTGCTGCTCGAGACAAACAGCTGCGCTTGAGGCCCCCCCTTTTCCTCATCAGCCTTGCGCGCTATCAAGAGCTACCTGCCATGTGCGCACACATGGGTCAGAACCCGAGCATGGATAAAACGTTACACATTGTAGAATCGAAGTAATAGATGTAAGCACATATACACATTCAAATGTTCGCACACATACTTATATATATATATATATATATATATATATGCAGCGGCATATGCATATACACAGACACATACACACAATCAAAATGGTGCATCTACCTATCGTCCACATGTCAATTCCTGCCAGAAAATGTGTCGAAGCTTGAACGATGGACGAGTCGAGGGGGCCCCGCGCTGACTGCCGAGGTCGGGCCACCGATGGGAGGCTTTTCTCTCGGCAGGGCTGGAGCCGCGGAAGGGGGGCGGGCAAGGAGCAACGGCGGCGCGGCCTCCAGCTCTGCCGGGGGCAGCGGCCGGGCCTCCCCCCAGGTGCTCTTGGAGGACGGGAGAGGAAGACGTGACGACAACAAGATGACCGACGAGGATTTGAAAGACGACGACCACGAGTGAGTTGAAGGAACAACAAAAAGGCCACGACCAGTCCCCCTGGAATGGGAAGCGGACGACGACGACGACGACGACGACGACGACGACGACGACGACGACGACGACTACCACGAGATGCGACCGCCGAGTGGCCCGATGATCACCTCTCACCTCTCAATACGCAGGCCCTCTAGCGTCAATGCCCCCAGTGATATTCCAGAGGACGAGCTGCCATGTTAATTTAGTTAGCCAGCCTGGGACAAACTCCAACGGCGGAGTGCGAGACATTTCCCGCACCTTTGAGGCAAGGGCGCTTACGCTCAACAATCACCTGACGGTTCTGCAGCCACCAAGTCGTCCATGGCCTCGGTGTGCACGCAACTACGCTGATTGCGTCATAAGCTGCGAAAGGCAACCCGCCGGCCACCATAGGTTGCGCCAGGCACCCCGCGAGCCACCAAATCGTCCGCTGCCTCAGTGGGTGTACGTAGCATTCGCCACTGGTTGCGCCAGAAGTAGCGCCAAACGCTGTGCCACACACGCAGCGAGACACCGCATCGGCCGATGCCGCATTGGGCACACCATTGCACCATTGCACAATGGATGCGCGAATCGCCATAGTTTGCACCAGGCAACACGCAAAAAACTCAATCGCCCGTTGCCGAATGGGGGGTACCAAGTCGACTTAATCTCAAGAACTTGTCGGGTGACTCCTGGGTCTCCTCGCGCGGCCATTTCCCGCGCGCAGAAAGCCCCAAGACGGCCCCAAAGGTCCCAAGATAGCCCTAGGACGATCCAGGAGGGATCCGTGACAGCCCAAGAGCTCTCCGAGATGGCCCCAATCCCACCAGCCCTCTGGGCGTCGGTGGTCTAGAGAGTTTCCTCTTCCAACCCCCTTCTTCCCCTGCGGGGAGGGGTTGACCCCTCCACAATGACTCAATATGAATACTAATCTCCCTCTTCCCCTGATGACGGCCTGGGAGTGTCCGACACCCCCCCCCCCCGCGTACTGTTTGTTTACACACAGGTTTCCCCGGAGTTGGGTTTCGCCTGCATTTTTTTCAAAATGCTGCTCTCGCTGAGGCGCCGGCCTCATTTTCGGGCCCCGCTCATTCCGAATCGTGCTCCCGCTGCAGCGCTGGCCTCATTTCCGTGCTTCCGCTCGTTCCGAATCGTGTTTCCGCTGCAGCGCTGGCCTTATTTCCGCGCTTCCGCTCGTTTCGACTCCTGCTCCCGCTGCAGCGCTGGCGTAATTTTCCATGCCATGCCACGGCATGCACTGCAATGCTAGGTTGATACTACGCTTTGCGGTACTCTTCTACGCCATGCCACGCCGTGCTCTACAATGCATCGCGTACCCATCATTGCCCTGCTCGACATCCGACTGAGCGAGTAGAGAGGGGATCTGCGCCATGGTAAGGGATGGAAGGGAGGGGAAGGATGTCAGATATGACGCGAGCGCACCTAGCTTGCCCTACCCCCTCCACTGGACCTGAACGGGGGGGTCCGCGGGTCGTTGGGGCGTCCAAGACGGCTCCAAGAGCGAAAAGGCGGGAAAGCACAAAAACAGTGATTTCCCTAGGTTTTGGAAGGATGTTGGCCTCTTTTGCGGCCCAGGAGGCACTCTAGAGGGGCAACGCTAATTCCCAACCCCCCCTTCTTTGATAGATCTCCTCCAACATGGCCCCAAGAGCGCCCCGAAGGCTCCCAAGAGCGCCCCAAGAGCGCCCCAAGAGGGCCCCAAGAGGCCCCAAGAGGCGCCCAAGAGGCCTCCAAGAGGATCCCAAGAGACCCCCAAGAGGCCCCAAAAGGCCACCCAAAATACGCAAGAGGCCCCCGGGACCGCCAAGAGGCCCCAAAGACGGCCCAAGAGGCCCCCAAGCTCGCCATTGTTCTCCTCCTGCTCCTCCTCCTCCTCCTCCTCCTCCTCCTCTTTGTCTTCCTCATCCCTCCTCCCCCTCCCTCTCCTCCTCCTCCTCCTCCTCCTCCTCCTCCTCCTCCTCCTCCTCCCTCCTCCTTCTCGTCCTCCACGTCCTCGCCCTCCTCCATCTCCTCCTCCTCATCTTCCTCCTCCTCCTCCTCCCCCTCCTCCTCCTGCTCCTCCTCCTGCTCCTCCTCTTGCTCCTCCTCCTCCTACTCCGACGACGACTCCTCCTACATCCTCCCCCTCTTGGGGTATAGGCGGCTTACCCCGCCCTGTGTTCTGCTGCATGCTCCCCCGCTGCCCTCATCACCTCCACTCCCCTGGGGCTGGTGGGGATACGCGAAGCGTTTAGAATAAGCCCCCGATACTCCGTTGGAAACAGGATTGGCGAGGACCCCACGAAAGCTTCAGGAGGTAAGCATTCATTATCTTCAGGAAGTTTGAGCTGTGTTCAGTGCTTCGCATTTCCAAGCCTGCGACACTCCAAGACGGGCCAAAGAGGTCGCCCCAAAGCCCAAGACGGCCTAAAGCGTCCCCAAGATAGCTCTGAGACACCCCAGGATGCCCCCAAGACGGCCCAAGGAGCCTCCAACAACGCACCAAGAGGGGGAAAGCGAGGGGCCTTCAGAGCCGTTCCCCAAATATCGTTAGGGAGGGACTGGCTGGCTGAGGTACTCCGATGTGGTCCGAGTCGATGGGGTCGGAGGATCACGCCGCATCGCCGATACATTGCCAAAGCATCGCCGTCATCACGTCGCCAATGTACCGACAACGTCGGCGTGGAGAAACTGTGCCTCCACATCGAGCCGCATCGCCGATACATCCCCCGACCCGATCTACTCCAGCTCCATCCGACGATCCTCAGAACGTGCGTTAGCGCCAACATGTGGCTTGTGCACCGACGTCCTTCAATACGACGCTGGGGCCCCAGCCGCCAGGGGTGTAACAAGGGCCGATGAAGGCTGCGTGCTATCGGCGGGGCTGAACGAGGGAAACCAAACACATTGGGCTAAGACACTTCTTGAGGATTTATCGACCCCCTGTTGCACCCTACCTTTCGGGCCATAACTCGGCTCGTCGGCGGCCGTTCGCGGGACGATCCTCAACCCCCGAAACGCCCTCGACGAGGCGCAGCCGATCGAAACAACCCCAGGCCCTCGAAAACCCGCGAAAACCGCACAAACTTCGAAAGCCTGCGATCACCTGGCCCCATCAGGGAGGCCTGGATCAAGGCCGAGCGACGACGACGCCGACGCCGACGACTTGAGCAGGGACCAACCGTCCAGGCATTCCTATCGTCATGCCACGAAGTATTCCTAGAACCCCAAAATGTTCCAATGAATGTTCCAGTGGCAAAAAAACAATGTCCTTAGAACGTAAGCCCTATGTAATAAAACAGGGCAACCTCCGCCAGAAATGCTCTGAGAGCAGTTCGTGAAAACCACCAGAGAATCTGATAGTATTGTTTGGTAGGGCTATAGACTATAGGACGCTTCGACACTGCTTGACGACGCCGACGACGCCCGCGAGCGGCCCGCGCGCGGCTGCAGCCGGCGGCCCTCCGGGGGCGGAGGGCTCCGGGAGGCGAGCGGCCTGCCGCGCGGCGCGGCCTCTCGGGGGGGAGCGGCCGGCCGCCGGGGGGCGTTGGGCGCCGGGCGTGGCGGACGACGGTGCCACGTCGGACGTTGCTACACACGAAGCTTTGTGGATGCCACGACAATGGACACCCTAACAGTCCTATCATTGAACTTAACATGTGTATGACATGTCGGGAAATGTTCCAAAGAAGCTTGAAACAAGCTTCAAACATCTTCAACACATGTTTTAGACATCTGGAAAGTATGTGGCAACATGCTTCCTCTCCGTTGGTCGTGCTCCACAAATAAAGCTCCGAGGAGTTGCGAATCCAGTGCGGGCGTTGACCTCGATGGAGGATTCGATGGAGGCTGTCTGTCCAGGAGGCACCCAGCGAGCCCGATGCACCCTGAGCAGAGCGGGCGCCACGGCCGACACAACCCATGGCCGAGACAGGTCTCACATCATCAGCACAGGTGGAAGCCAATCCATCTGGGCGCGGCCGCCCCACATGAAGGGGCCCTGGGACATACACATAAATACACACAACATAAAAGTAATCCCTACATTTTCTTATATTGTCTCAGTTTTTGTCTTCCCCCACTTCCCATAGGTTCCCATATTTCTGGGGAATCGACGATCAAGTGTGTCTGTGTGTTTTTTTTCCTCCTGACCACAGGCGTGCGAGCGCCGCGACGGCGTCTGGGCGCTGGCGCCACCGAACGCTGCCGCTCGGGTGTTCTCCGCAACAGTGTGGAGAGATGCCTGCGGGCGCTACTCTCACGATGCGAGCCTGGCTTTCCTCGGTTTTTCGGCCTCGGGGGGGCCCGTCGCGGGACCCCGGGGCCATCGAGAGGGGGACCCGGGACTGAGAAGTACCCTCGGGGGAGGGGGGCGGGGCCGACGGGGCCGCGGAGGGACAAAAATCACGTCGGCGGATGCCCGAGGACGTGCTTCGGGCCCACAGTGTCCCCAACTCTTCGCGCCATCTTGGAGCTCCACGGGGCCCCCATGGGTCTCGTGAGGGATGCACTTCGGAGGCCGCGGGGGCCTCCTCGGAGATCCTGGGGACTCCCACGGCCAGGGGCACATCTTGGCCCCCCCGAGCCACAGGCGTTGACTCCCGACGCTGGACGACGACGCCGACGCCGAGGAGGACGGCGACTCGCCCGACGAGAAGGATGACCACGGCGCCGTCGCTGACGAGGGCGGCGGCGGACGGCGTCATCGGAGGTCGTCGTCCGACGTCGCCGTCGGATAGTCGACGCCGTCGTCGTCGGCCGTCACTGTCGCCGTCGCGGGGGGAGGCCACGGTCGCCGTCGCACGCTGACGTCGGTCGTCGTCGGACGCTGACGTCGCAGGACGACGACGACGACGACGACGACGACGCGTCGCCGTCGTCCTCGAACGTCGCCATCGTCGCGCGCAGAGAAGATAAAGAAAGGCAGACGAGTCAACAGCGTGGGAGGCACAACGCTGCGATGCATCTTTCGCCGCCGCGCGACGAGGTGCCAAGACTGCCTGGAGCGGCACTCCAGGAAGACATGGGGGCTCCTCCGAAGGAAGCGGTTCTCAAAGGGTGAAGTTTGCAGCAGGCGCCTGGGGACAGCCTGGCGAGCGGGCGGGGGCCTCGATAGAGTTCTCCAGCGCGCGCCGAGGAGGCCCGACGAGGACAGAGTGTCGTGCCCCCCCAGGCCCCATCCGAGCCGATCGCAAGCCACACCCCGGCGTAACCGCCCCCTTTGTAGTCGCCGAACAGGGGGGCTCCTCTGCAGGGAGCAGTCCTGTCAGAGGCCATGATCCTTGAGCCCGCAACTGCCGAGAGGCGCTACAAGGTCGCCCTCCCGACATTGCAAGGCCCAACGACAGCACAAACATACGATCAAGTTGCTCGGGTCCGCGCGATGTGTTCTCTGTCGGCGCCTCTCCAAGGGCCCTCCCTGGCGCACGGACCGCGCTGGGGGTAGCGAGGGAGGCTCCGCCAAGGGGTGTGGGAAGGAGAGTCCAACGCCGACCCAAGACCAGGCGCACGCTGACACAGACCACGGATCCGTGGCTCCGGCGCACGCATCCTTGGATCGGGAAGAGCCCCCCCCGAGACACGAGGCCAATGCCGCCTCACTTGGCGACGGAGTCGCCAACCCGCGCACCGCAATCTGTGTGTTGCTGGTTGCGCCTCCTCGACCATCCGCGCACCCCCCCCGGAACGCTTAGGCACGCGGTCTGGGTGGGTCCCCCCCTGGCTCCCGCTGCTGCTCGCCGCCAGGGCTCGAGCGGGCTCTGCAGGGGCAGAGAGATGACGGCGCCACCGCCGCCTGGGGCAGGAGCCGGGCGCGGGGTCATGCTGGTGGTGCGGCCCCTGGATGTTGACATCCCTCTTGGCGGCTGGTAGTGGGAGGTGACCTACAGTGGGGGGTGAAAAGAAGGGGCCTTCGGGGGCTCTTCTCTTCCCCCCCCCATCTGTCACTCTCCCCCTACCACCCGCCAGAATCCCGCTCGAGACATCCCGACGTCGTCAGCCTCCGGCTCGAGACATCACGACATCTTCAGCCAGCGGCTGGAAGTGACCCGCCGGTGGTGGTTGTGCCGCTTCTGTGACCGCCGGACCTGGGCCCAACTTCGGGGGGAGGGGCTGGTGGAGACGGGGGTGGGTTAGACGATGACGAGCTCCTCCCTCCCTCAAGAGAAAGCTGAGGGGGGGGCCTCGAGGCCGACGCCGGGCGAGATGCGCTCCACCTCCCTGCTGCTCCTGTCGAGCTGCGACGAGGCGTCCTCGGGGCGCGCGGGGGGCGGGGTCGCTGGAGCCCCCGGCGCCGGAGCCCGAGCAACATCCAGGCTGGGGTGGGGGGGGATGTTCGTGCAGGCGAGGGACGTCAGTCTGCAGGAGGATCTGAACGTCGCCGCGCAGCCGCGCCAAAGACACTGAGCAAGCGATGTCGATATCGCGCCCTCGCAGAGCACGAACGCTTTCCGTCCCTGTGCCAACCAGTTCTGATTGCCCGGCCATGTTCACCGGCCATGTTCGGCCCTAGACGTCCCAAGTCAGCCCCAAGAGCGCCTCCCAGGACCCCAGGGCCCCCTCTAACAAGACCACCGACAATGGCATCCTTGACCACGCTGACAGAATTGCCATGGAATTCCTGCTCAGGACGCGCAGGCTCTGGTGCTGCTTCCGTCTACTACGACATGGACCCACTCGGCAGGCGAGCGGGCTCGACAGCCAGGTTCGACCGCCGCACAGACCCAGGACCGAGCCCAGTCGGCGGCAGGACGGGCTCGGCGGTCAGTGCGTACCCCTTTGGAGTTGGGCACGCGGGTGACCAGTCAGCAGCCGGTGGCAGCCGCATGGGCTCAGACGCCGAGGGGGCCTCAGAAAGGAGCCCTTGGGCAGGCGAGCTTCCACGGCTACGGCAACTCGCGCTCCGCTTCATCGAGCGTCGCCACCCCGAGGATCTTGCGGAGCGTTGGATGAAGAGATCTTCCGTCCTCAGGGGAGCATGAGGGCCCCGGGGGGAGGCAAGTCGCCACATCAGTGGATAAGGAAATTCCTCGGCCTAGGCACCTGGCACACCACCAACGCAGAGCTAAGTTCCCCCAGCAACGACAACGCAACGCAGTGAGGCAAGCGTGAAACCAACAAGCATGCGTCTTCAGACGTGCCGCATAAGGAGGTCGGAGACAGAGGTGCTGGTTGAATCGATGCTCAACCATTTCGACCTCACCACTGCGACTCTGGTACGCTGGGGCGTGTCAGAATCCGTGTCCAGTGCCTGGTACTACAACTTCTGTAGGCTTCCACTGGCGATGCACCATGTAGGTAATCCCACCAGCCCTCTTGGCGTAGGTAGTCTAAAGAGCTTTCTCTTCGAAACCTCTTTTGCCCCTTCTGGGAAGGGTTTACCCGTCACCCTCACCACCTCCCCTGGACCTGGATGGGGTGTGGTCGCGGGTCGTTGGAGCGTCCAAGATGGCCCAAGATGACTCTACGAGGGGCTCGGAGAGCCCAAGATGATGGCCCAAGGATGCTCCAAGAGGCCCCAGGACCGCTCCAAGACGGCTCCGAGTGGCCATGAAGCCTCCCCTGGGGGCCGCCCAGAGGCCATTCCTTCAAAAACCCAGGGGACATCAACTAATTGTGCCTTCTCGCCTTTACGCTTCCGATGGCCTTCCGAGGCCTCCAGGCAGCTCCAAGAGGGCCAATGAGGGCCCCACAAGAGACCCAAGAGAACCCCAAGACGGTCCCAAGAGCGCCCCAAGAGGGGCCCAAGAGGCGATGTGTTGGGCTTCTGAGGGGGGGGCGCAATTAGATCTCCCATCTTTTTTGATCGATCTCCTGTAAGATGGCCCCAAGAGCGCTCCAAAGGCTCCCAAGAGCGCCTCAAGAAGGGCCCCAAGAGGCGCCCAGGAGGCCCCAAGAGGCGCCCAAGAGGATCCCCAGAGACCCACAAGAGGTCCAAAGAGCCTTGCCGAGGCACCCACGACGCTCCCAGAGTCCCCAGGCGTCCTCGACTTCCTATCCTCCTCCGAATCCTCCACCCCCTGTTGGTGTACGACGGGTTCTCCAGCTCTCTGTCCCTGTGTGCTCCCCCGCTTCTCTGATCAAGGCAACTCGCCTTTGCATCGTTTCTGGATGGGCTGGTAGGGATACGCGACGCGTCAAGAATTCATGCAACCAAGAAGCAAATTCAACGACTGGGGTACCATCCGTTCGCAGCTGACGTTGTCAAACGCGGCGCCCTACGTGAGAGTGCACCCTTAGACTGGGACCTGTGCTGTAAGACCCCACAGGGGCTGAAATCCTGTGGGCTCCTGGCTGGACCCCGTGGCACCCGCCGGAAGCCCAAGAAACCAAATTCCCCCAGCATTCGCGTGCATGCCGATACTGCCAACGTTGTACGCTCTGCCGACACCAACCAGAATGCCCTCCCACTCTTCGCAGCATTGATGCCTGCCGTGACGACACGGTGTTTGGCCCCTGGCACCGCGCGAACCCTTCGAGGAACTCCTCTCAAAACCAAATCTCTTGCGTGGGATCTGCACCGTGTGGGACGCAGAAAGCCTTTCGGTACGATGTGTCCTCCTTGGCGGCATGCGTCCGACCAGATCATATGGCATCACCACCTTGTGTTATAAATACATCTGCAGAGTGACCAGCAAGCGCGCGCCATCAGGCACAGACTGCAAGATTTCTTAACGCGCGCGTTGCCCCTCGTAAAGTAAAACATGTAATCGTAGTAGTCGTAGTAGTAGTAGTAGTTGTTGTTGCAGTAGTTGAAGTAATAGTAGTACTAGTAGTACTAGTACAACTAGTAGTAATAGTAGTAGTAGTAGTAGTAGCAGTAGTAGCAGTAGTAGCAGTAGTAGTAGTAGTAGTAGTAGTAGTAGTAGTAGTAGTAGTACTAGTAGTAATCGTGGTGGAAGTAGTCGTAGTAGTAGTCGTAGTAGTAGTAGTAGCAGCAGCAGTAGTAGTAGTAGTAGTAGTAGTAATAGTAGTAGTAGGTCGTAGTAGTAGTGGTGGTCGCAGTAACGGTCGTCATGGTAGTAATGGTAGTAGTAGTCGTAGAAGTTATCGTCGTCGTTGTAGCCGTAGTCAGTGTTGTCGCTGTGGCACTCGAAATAACAGTGTCAGCGGTAGTCGTAGTAGTAGTGGTACTAGTAGTAGTAATAAGAAGAAGAGGTAGTCATATTAGTAGTAGTAGTAGTAGTAGTAGTAGTAATAGTAGTAGTTGTCGTAGTCGTAGGAGTAGTACTAGTAGTAGTAGTAGTCGTAAGAAGTAGGAGAAGTAGTAGTAGTAGTAGTAGTATGAATAGCAGCAGAAGTGGTAGTCGTAGAAAGCGTCGTAGTGATACTAGTGGTAAAGAGTAATAGTGGTACTATAGTAGTCGTAGAATCGCTGTATGACTGGTAGTCGTCGTCGTAATAGTCGTAGTCGCAGTCGTATTCGTCGTCGTGGTAGTAGCAAGAGAAGTAATAGCGGTAACAGTGGTCGTAGTAGCAGTAGTAGTAGCAGTAAAGCCGTAGTAGTAGTAGTCGTAGTAGTAGTAGTAGTAGTAGTAGTAGTAGTAGTAGTGGTAAGAGCAGGTCGGTGTAATAGTAGTGGAGGTGGTAGTAATAGCAGTGGGTGTCGTAGCAGCCATCGAAATGATAACAATCGTAATGTTAGATGTTGTAGCAGTAGCACTAGAAAACGTTGTGGTAGTAGTAGTCGTAGTAGAAGTAGTACTAGTGATAGTGGTAGTAGAAGTAGGTGTAGAAGTATTAGTAGTGGCAGAAGTAGAAGCAAAGGTAGTAGCAAATTAGTCATACGAGCAGTAATTACAGCCGTCGTCGTAACAGTAGAAGTGGTAGTACTAGTAGCAGTGGTGGTAGCAGTAGTGGTAGTACTAGGAGTACTATTACTACTGCTACCGAAAGGTAGACGTAGCACCAATAGTGCTACGAGTACTCGGATAGAAGCAAGTGTAATCGAGCCGGTAGTCGCAATAATAATCGTGTCGTAATGGTAGTCGTAATAATCGTTGAAACAGTAGCAGCAGTAGTAGAAGTAGAAGTAGTAGCAGTAGTGGTAGCAGAAGCAGTAATAGAGGTAGTCGCAGTAGTAGTAGTAGTAGTAATAGTAGTAGTAGTGGTAGTAGTAGTAGTAGTAGTGGTAGTGGTAGTAGTAGTAGTAGTAGTAGTAGTAGTAATAGTAGTAGTAGCAGCGATAGTAGTAGTAGTAGTAGTAGTAACAATGGTAGTAGTCGCAACCTCGACAAATCTTCAGCAATAGTGAGAACTACAATGTGTTCGGCCACCTCATTGACGGATTGGCTTTCCACCAATAATGGGAAAGCTGTTTACCCGCGGCACACGCCGCACAAGAAACGACGACGACGACGACGAGATAATGGAGAATATTGTGAGTGTGAGCAACGCCGTCGGTGAACGCTGTAACAATGTACAGTGGAATCATATTACAAGCGTGCACATCCTTCCTCTGCCGCACAGGGTCGCCCAAGGAGAAGTTCCCTGAGAGGAAGTCGCCCCAGACATTACCCAGTCCGCCCAGCAATTGAAGGTAATGATACCCGCCCCGGCGACGACGATTACAACTACGACAACGACGACGCCTACGACTACGACTACAACCACAACTACGATTAACATTACAATCGCACTTGCACTCGCGATTGCAACAACGACTACGGTAGCGACTACAACCACAACACCTGATTCCTACTGCGACCCTCATGAGAAGAGGCAGACAAATTATATTGCGCCTAGCCAATCATGTTTTATTCCCTGGGGGGAAGAGCCCCCGCTCAGTACCCAGCACGCCCAAAAATAGAAAGGAAAGGTTCCCCATCGCGACGACGTCGCCCACGAGTAGCAGTAGCAGTAGTGGCAGTAGTGGTAGTGGAAGTGTTGGCGGTAGTGGTGGTGGTAGTAGCAGAAGCAGTCGTAGTAGCACCAGCAGCAGTAGTAGAAGTAATAAGATAAAAAACATGGTAGAGGTAGTAAAAAAGTAGCCGCAGTAGTAGTAATCGTAACCATCGAAGGAGTACTGGTATTAGCACTGGTATTAGTCGTAGTAGCTAGTAGTAGTAGTAGCAGCAGTAGTAGTAGTAGTAGTAGTAGTAGTAGTAGTAGTAGTCGTAGTAGTAGTAGTAGTAGTAGTAGTAGTAGTTGTTGTAGTCGTAGTACTAGTAGTAGTAGAAGTAGTCGTAGTATTATTAGTAGTAGTAGTAGTAGTAGTAGTAGTAGTCGTAGTAGTAGAAGTACTAATAGTACTACTACTAGTAGTAGTAGTAGTAGTAGTAGTAGTAGGAGGAGGAGGAGGAGGAGGAGGAGTCGTAGTAGTCGTAGTAGTATCATCAGTAACAATTCAAATGATAATGTCACCCCCACAGTCGCAGTAGTGGTGCGAGTAGTCGCCGTAGTAGGAGTAGAAGTAGGAGTGGTCGTACTGATAGGAGTCATAATAGTAGTCGTAGTAGTAGAAATAATGATAGGAGGTCGTATTGCTGGAAGTAAGAGTCTGTAGTAGTAGTAGTAGGAGACGTAGGCGTAGTAGTAGTAGTAGTAGTAGTAGTAGTAGCAGTAGTAGTAGTAGTAGTGGTAATAGTAGTAGTAGTGGTCGTACCCGTTATAGTGGTAGTAAGAATAATCGTCGTTGTCACAGTAGTAGAAGCAATCATAGCAATAGTCGTCCTAGTGGTAGTAGTGGCAAGGGTGGCATGGGTCGTAGTAGTAGTCGTAGTAGTAGTAGTAGTAGTAGTAGTAGTAGTAGTAGTGGTATTAGTAGTAGCAGTAGTAGTAGTCGTAGTAGGAGTCGCCGTAGTAGTAGTAGTAGTAGTAGTCGTAGTAGTAGTAGTAGTAGTAGTAGTAGTAGTAGTAGAGGTAGTAATGCTAGTAGTAGCAATAGTAGTAGAAATAGTAGTAACGGTAGTACTAGGAGGAGGTAGTGGTAGTGGTAGTAGTAGCACGAGTAGTCATAGTAGTAGCAGTAGCATTAATGATAAGTAATAGTGGTAGCAGTAGTAGTAGTAGTAGTAGTAGTAGTAGTAGTAGTGGTAGTAGTAGTAGTAGTAGAAATCGTGGTAGTGGTAGTAGCTGTGGTGGTACTAGTAGTGGTTGTGCTAGTAACGGTAGTAGTAGCAGTAGTAGTAGTAGTAGTAATAGTAGTAGTAGTAGTCGTAGTACTAGTTGTAGTAGTAGGAGTAGTAGTAGTAGTAGTAGTAGTAGTAGTAGTAGTAGCTGCAGTAGTAGTAGCAGTAGTAGTAATAATAATGATAGTACGCATAATAACAGTAGTACTAGTAGTAGTCGTAGTAGTACTCGTAGTAGAAGTAGTCGTAGTAATCGTAGTCGTCGTAGAAGCAGTAGTAACTGGAGGAGCTGGAGGACAAGGAGGACCAGGAGGAGGAGGAGGAGCAGGAGGATGATGAGGAGAAGGAAGAGAAGCGACGAGTTGTAAACTTCGCCGAGAGAAATTGGGGGTGGAGGAGCAAAACGAAAGCCCTTTCCAGTTAGTCGCACCAGTAATATTAACAGAAGATCTAGTAATGGTAATAATATGTTTGTATGTTTGAGTGACGCCGATCGTGGGCTGTTCTGTGTGGCCACAGGGCCCTGGGTCCGAAATGGGCTTCCGACGAGCGCACGTTCGGGCCCATCGCGCTCACCTCCGGAGCTGTCCGCCTGCAGAGAAGGGAAAGACCGGCGTCTGCGGGGGCCGCGGGAATCCCGAGGTGGAGAGGGGCACGAGGCGGCGGCGAGCCCAGGGGGGGAATCAGAAGGGGCGGGCCTTCTCGGAAGGCTCGGAAGGCATCGGGCCTTCCCCGCAAGCCAAATGCCAAGGCTTCTCAGAAGACTCGGAAAATAAGCTTCCCCGAAGGCTGGGTCCCAGAAGGCTTCTCAGGAGGCTCCGAAGGCATCTGGCCTTCTAAACCTCCCGCGGAGACAGAGAAACTTCTCAACGGCCGGGTGACCGCCTTCCGAGAAGGCCTCCTCCCCCCCACTGCCCCCCCGGGAGCGTCGCCGAAAGGAGGAGAGGAGGGAGGCGCGAAAAGCGAGGCAGGGAGGGGGGAAGGAGCAGGAGGAGGAAAAGGGGAAGGGGATACAAATGAGTCCTGCCCCGTCGGGCCACAATTATCTTATGTTCTAGTTGTCATACTGTAACTGCACCTGCCTGCGGCACATTTTGTTTGCGCACTTCGCTGAAGTCGACGCTTCACTGCCGTTTGATCTTGAGGATCGCAACAAGCATGGTCATAAAGGAGGAGGAGGAGGAGGAGAGGAGGAGGAGGAGGGGGAGGGGAGGAGGGGAAGGATCAGGCGGAGGAGGAGAGGGAGGAGGAGGAGTCCGCGGCATACTTTGTTTGCTCAATTCGCCTATTTCCGCGCTTCAGACCCCCCCCTCCAGGAACGCAACAAGCCGGGCCTTAATGTCTGACCAACGTCAGGAAGGGAACGGACAAAAAGGGGCTGGGAGAGAGGGGGGACCCTCCCGCCCCCCCGCTGCGGCGCGGGAGGGAGCGGGGGCCCGGGAGGGAGGCCGGGGCGTCTCCCGCGGGGCCGCCCCGTCTCGAGCGCGGCGGGCCCCGCGCCCTCCGTGAGCCAACCCGAGCCCGGGCCACGGGGTGCTCCCGGGCCCAGGCTGGCGGCTGGCCGGGACGGGCAGGGCGGACGGTCGACGTCCTCGGCGGAGGCCTCCCACCGGCCATCGCTCGGTTTCGTCCATGCCCTGTGCTTTTCGGTTTCGTGCGTGGATACTGTTTCGCCAAGTGATCAAGGATGCTCCTCGATGGTCCTCGCCGAAGGAAACATGCACACGTCCGAGCGATGCCAAGTCCCACATCGGGTTGGAGAAGATGGGGTCGAAGGATCGCCGATGCATCGCCGATACGTTGGCGATGCAGCAGCGACGTCGGCGGTGCTCCTGCGGCGTCGGCGTGGGGAGAATCTGGCCCCGCACGAAGCCGCAAGGCCGGTGCATCGGCGATGCGGCGCGGTCCTCCGACCCCATCCGGCAGGCCAGGATATACCGATGCACCGAAGGAGTGCCTGCAGCACCAGTGCGGCGTATGCCTTCACCCCAGCGCGGCGCCGCGGGACTCGACCACTGCGCTATCTCTCTCTCTCTCTCTCTCTGCTGCCTCCGCGATGTCGTCATTATGGTGGGCATGGCGACACCGATCCCCGACTTCGTGGGGTTTCAACCCCGTTCTCCTGGGACATACGACGGAGGGAGCGCCCATCCTGAGTCTTCGAAGGAGTGTCTCCCCGAGTCTGCCTCCAGTTCTGAGCGACCCACAGTCAACGTCTTGATCAAGCCCTGATTCTAACTGAGAAGCGTCGGTGCCGAGGGGCACCGTGCTGCCCTCAGGAGCTCGCCTGGATCGCACAAGGGGCTCCGACACTCGCGCGGCGACTAAGCTTGCGGATGCCATGTGTGTTGAAGTGAACAATTCTATCATTGAACTAAAGGTGTGTTTAAAATGTGTAAAACATGTTCTAAACATGTTTAACACATGTTGCTTTACATGTTTAAAACATGTTTGAAACATCTCTAAACATCTGGAAATTATTTGGCAGCACGCTTCCTCTCCATTAATCGACTTCCACGAGACTGAGCGGTAAGTCACGCTGCCTCACGTTCAACGGCGGCCTCCTGATCATCGTCCTCCTAATCCTCCACAGAGGCGGGTCGGTCCAGAGAGGAGGCCCGCTCGGAGAGGATCTTGTTCATCCACTTGTCCATGGGGTCACCAGCCTGAGCCTGGAGAACGAATCCGACGGGAGACGGGGGGGCGGGAAGGGTTCGATCCAGCTCGCTAGAGGATGGGCTCAAATGATGACGTCAATGACAGCATATCTAAATCAAATCACACGAGCTGCTTGGGCATGGGTCATAGATGACTTGAAGAGCTCATGCTTCCGACCTCCTTGTACTCCATTGGGAAAGGGTTTACACCCCCCCCCCTTCCCATGGATCTGGACGGGAAAGCCGCGAGAGTTCAGAGGGTCCGTTGTGGCCCAAGATGGCTCCGAGATGCCCAAATAGCCCAAGATGGCCTCCAAGATGGCCCAAATGGCCAACAGTGGCTCAAGGTATTATCCAGCATGCCTCTAACAGGCCCCACTATCCGACGGAGGCTCCAAAAAAACATGCAGCCTCCCCAAGAGACAGACCCTGGGGAGATAACATCGTGCTAAAACACATGTTGCTGTTTCGCCACTTCGCTGTTAGTGGGGTTCTGATGCCTCAAGGTGGCTCCTTTTTCGCCCAAGAGGGCCCCAAGATAGGCCCCGAGGAGGTCAAAGGTGGCCCCAAAAGCGCCCCAAGAGGTGATCTGTTTCGGGCTCTGACGGGGCTGCTAAATCAGCCACCCCAACATCGTTGATCGATACCCCCCAAGATGACCCAAGCCGCAGGAGGCGACGAGCGCTGCGAAAGCGGCCCAGAGGACACAACTTGGATGCAATAGGCATCCAAGAGGCTCATGGTTATCGACACCTGTCGTCTATATACCTCCGCCTCCTCCTCGTCCTCCTCTTCCTCGTCATTGTCGTCGTTGCTCCCATGCCTTCACCGTTCTTCTCCGCCTGCTCCTCCTCATCCCACCTCCCTCTGATCCTCCGTCCTGCTCCCCCTCCTCCTGCCCGGCTTTGTCCTCCACCTCCTCTTTCGGCGGCTGGCTCAACAATTCCACTCCCGGATATGCCCAAACTGGTTTCGAGCTGAGGCTTGACGCCAGACCCAGTTTTCTTTTCTACTGGGTACGCCTGCACTTTCCTGGTCAAGAAAACTCGCCTGGCAGTCATGTCTGGATGGGATGGTGGAGATACGCAAAGCGATGGGAACTTATTCCGATGTACTCATACAGTGAAGAACCCAGATAACACAAGAACTAGGCCACGTCGAACATGTGCAAACGTATCCGAAACTGGGAAAACTGGAGGGCACGGCCTTGACGGTATTCACAACAATGCTGGGTACGGTTGCACGGGCTGCACCCTCTGGATCGATGACGATGACGACGAATATCGTAATGAGAAACACGTGTCGCCTCGCAATCCTCATACTGCCAGTACCGACAAAGCAATGCCAACACCAACAGTATCCACAAGCACGCACTCCTGGGATGTAATGCTCTCCTGAGTGTTTGTGTGTGCGTGCGTTGTGCGAAGAGGCCGCCAGCAACATGCCACTGTGGCAACATATTGCCACCAGCTCCGCAGCTCCGCCCGGCTGGATCCTGTCGCGGCGACGTAGACGCTGGCTTCTTACACAGCGTAAAGATTGCTATATTGAATGGTTTCCCTCCACTATCCAGCAGCGGACGTCGAACAAGTGTTTGGCCCTGGATCAGGCCGCCATTGGTCATCGATCTTGAGCGCCCGCGCCGGCGTCGTCACCGCATCGATGCTTGCCCTGGCGGCAGTACTGCAAGGGCAAGCCCTGCAACAGGGAAACGCGCAAGCAACGTGGCTACTGGCGATGCAGCGGGCAAGCAGGGCGGCCGGCATCGAGCGATCGTCGCAACCAACCTACAGCCCCGCCGCCCGTTGCATCCTGTTCAACATCTGGCCCCAAACGGTTGAACCAATCCGCCACCGTGCTTGCGAGCTGTGGGCGTGTTAGAATGCCCAGTGCTGCTATGTAGGATTTGGATTCTAATAAGCGACCCCCCCTCTCGCCGCACCCAGTCGCATGCACCCTCCCTGCTGCCGAAGCCATAATCCCAATTGGATCCGCGCTCCCGATGCCACGATCCCTCGTAACAATCTATGTGTCCGCATCCCGAGCTTCCAAGACGGCCCAGGCAGGCAACCAAGGCAACCCAGATGGCCCCTGATGCCTCGAAGATGGCCCAAGAGGGACCCAAGGAGGCCGAACATGGCCTCAAGACAGCCCAACATGCCTCCAAGAGGACCCCAAGAGGACGTCGAACAGGGCCCGAAGAAATCAAACTCATTGGCTTCGGTTTGGAAAGATGTTCGCTCTCTCACCTTTTCGGGCTATCGTAAGCTTAAAATGACTCAAGAAGCCTGCACGATGGCCCTACGACGACCCCAGAAGCCTAAAAGGTTTCTACGACGAACCAAGAGGCCTCCACGAGGGTCCAAAGTTAGCCCAGAAGGACCACACGAGGGCCCAAGACGCATGCAAGACGACCCCCAGACGACCCAAGAGAGTCTCCCATGAGACATCAAACGGCCTCAAAGGCCCTTCAGCTGCCAAAGACGGCGCCAAGACGGCAAACTGGCAACCACAATCCTGCCAAGAGGGCCCCAAGACGGCCCAAGAGAGCTCCAATACGGCCTAAGAGAGGCCACATACAGCCTAAGAGGGGCTCACGACTCCCTGAGACTGCCTCACAGGAGGCCAAGACAGCCACACGACGGCCCAAACGAGTTCCATGGGAGCCAATAAAGAAGACGAACAATGTCACGTGTGACGGCCTTCCTCCTCCTCCCTCCTCATGATCATCATCATGATAATCATCATCATCACCACCAAATACCACCACCACCATCATCATCATCACAACCACCACCATCATCATCATCATCACCACCATCATCTTCATCATCATCAGCACAAGCATCATCACCATCAGCATCAGCACCAGCAGTATCGTCAGCAGCATCGTCAGCAGCATAAGCATCATTAGCATCATCGGCATCAACATAATAGTTGTATTCATATGAATCTTCATATACATCAGGTTCATCATCATCAGCATCAACATCTTCAACATCATGAGCATAGTCATAATAATCATAATCATCATCATCAGCATCAGCATCAGCATCAGCATCATCATAATCATCATCATCATCATCATGATCATGATCATCATCATCATCATCATCATCATCATCATCATCATCATCATCATCATCTCCTGTGTCTCCATGGACATTCGCCACCGAGTATGCTGGGCTGGCACTGTGGCAGATTTGTGGGAGGCAGCTGGATACAATGGGGAAGTAGGCGAGGCCATGGTTCCACACTGTTTGAAAGTGTTGCAGCGGCATCAAGGCAGAACCTCTAGGATCTGTGGCCAGGTATGGGCCAAAAGGGACACACACATATATATATATATATATATATACAAGGCTTGGGCAACCTTGTTAGCCACGGGGCGCTAAGCGGGCCCACTGGATGCCAGAACGGGGAAGAACGGCGGACCCTAGCCCAAAAAGTGGCACCTGAAGTCTGGGCTCCCTCTGCATCCCCCCCGCCCCCAAAGCAGGGGGGCTGGCGCCTGGGACGCCTTCTCCCGCACGGCGGCGGCGACCGCCGCCGTGGCCGACTCCGCTGGCGTCCGGCACCCGGGGCCTGCTGGCCCGCGCAAGAGCGCGGGCGCAGCTCGGACGTCGAGGTAGAGGAACAGGAGGGAAACACGAGAAGGTGCAAGAAAGGGGGAGGAGCTGCAGCAGCAGCATCCGCACGAGTAGCGGCAGCAGCGGGAGGAGTGGTACATTTGTCTTCGTCGCAGCACGGCAGAGGCAATTCGCACGGGCGCTCGCTGTAGTCGGGGACGCTCGACAAGAAAGAAGAGGGATACAAAGAGTCCGTCGGCTCTGCCTTGAGAGCTTCACTGCTGTTACCCTGCGTGATGCTGCCTTGCTGCGCCCGCTCTGCTGCACGCACACTCGCGAGCCCACGATGCGAACGTGGCCCCCGAAGTGGCGTGGACGGTCGCCCTAAAACGAGAGGCGGAATGGCGTTCCAAGAAGTCGGGAACGGCTTTCCGAAATAGCGTTCCATCCACTCTCCAATCCACCTCACCTCGGAACGAATCTTTCTATCCTTGCAAAGACTACGCCCAAACGCGAGGACGACTCTCAGATCCGAGCGTCGCGAAACACAAGAGACGCCCAAGTTTTCGACGTTGACAGAAGAAGGGGTCGAGACATCCGTGATCCTGCGAGTACGGCCCTGCGACTACGGCCGGTGCTGGCCAAAGATCGAGGGTCGAGGATCGATGACCGCTGCGTTCGACGAGACTTGCCTTCTTGGGCCTCCTGCGGTTTAACGCCACTACTGGACTCCCCTCGACATTTTGGCTAGAACGCACTTGAAGACATGCCCCGTGGGTCGACTTTGAAGCATGACGGCGCACCCTCCCGTGTCGTAGGAAAGTTCACGGGGCCGAGACCACGATCATGTGGAGACCAAGGCTTCAGATGCTCGAGGGGGCCAACGCGCGAAAAAAAATCTTAGGCATCGAAGCGTATCCTCCACTTCATTCAGAGGGAATGTTCGGCGGGGGCCAGCTCAGGGAAGGACACACCGAGCTGGAATCGGCAAGACATCGCCGATAGATCGGCGATAGGCCCCCGAGAGCAAATCCACACAGATCTTGGGCAAAAAGTGGGCTCTCGGGCCCCTATCGGCGATGAATGGGCAATATGGGGGGTCGGTGCCTTCCCCCCTGAGCCGATCCTCCTGACGCTGCCCCTGAACGAGCATGGCAAACACGAGACCAATCGCTCGAGTGGGCCATGCTGCTGTGTCCCTGCCCCTGCTCTTCGTGCCGCGCCCTGCTCCATGTCGCAGGCCACTAGCCCCGTCCAAGTCAAGGTAGATGTTCCAATGAGTGTGCGTGTCTCCATTGTCTGTCCAGCACGATGGCGAATAGAAACCTGACCGGACACGAGCGGGAAGCGTCGCCCGTGTCCACGAGGTCTGTGAAACATAGACTCGTTTGTTGATCTCCCGCGCAGATATGTCGTGGCGTGCGCGCGTTTGCGCGTGCGCGTGCGTGCGTGGAATATGTGCATGTGTGTCCGTGTGTGGTGGTCTGCGGCACTGCTGTGTTATGCCGTGCTGCAGTGCCTTGCTCTGGCGGCCTGCGTGAACGTATGTTGCCTCTCTCTGTGTGCGCGTGTGCGTGCGTGCGTGCGTGCGTGCGTGCGTGCGTGCGTGCGTGCGTGCGTGCGTGCGTGCGTGCGTGCGTGCGTGCGTGCGTGCGTGCGTGCGTGCGTGCGCGTGTGTGTGTGTGTGTGTGTGTGTGTGTGTGTGTGTGTGTGTGTGTGTGTGTGTGTGTGTGTGTGTGTGTGTGTGTGTGTGTGTGTGTGTGTGTGTGTGTGTGTGTGTGTGTGTGTGTGTGTGTGTGTGTGTGTGTGTGTGTGTGTGTGTGTGTGTGTGTGTGCGTGCGTGCGTGCGTGCGTGCGTGCGTGCGTGCGTGCGTGCGTGCGTGCGTGCGTGCGTGCGTGCGTGCGTGCGTGCGTGTGTGTGTGTGTGAATGTGAATGTGAATGTGAATGTGAATGTGAATGTGAATGTGAATGTGAATGTGAATGTGAATGTGAATGTGAATGTGAATGTGAATGTGAATGTGAATGTGAATGTGAATGTGAATGTGAATGTGAATGTGAATGTGAATGTGTGTGTGTGTGTAAGTGTGTGTGTGTGTGCGTGTGCGTGTGCGTGTGCGTGTGCGTGTGTGTCTGTGTGCGTATGTGTGTGCGTGTGCGTGCGCCTGTGTGCATGTGCCTTTGTGCGTGTGCCTGTGGGTGCGGCTGTGCGAATAGATGTTCTATGTGCTCTGCCGTGCTCCTGCATGTTCTGCCGTGCTCCTGTGTATTCTGCCATGGTCCTGCTCTGCCGTGCTTCCTTGTGTTCTGCCGTGCTCCTGTGTGTTCTGCCGTGCTGCTGCTTGTACTGCCGATTCCGATTTCGGTATCTCAATGGAGGCCGATTCGACGTCTCCAAACTTGGCTGCCGATTCCGCAACTCCGAGCTGCAAAGCTGCGCTTGAACTGCGCAATGCGTTCTAAAACAATTGTCTGTAAAACATTATGTATAGTTATGATGCCTGGGTTGGGTAGCCAGGGCCCATCGTGGAGCCCTGAGCGGACTGCCTAAAGCTGTTTCGGTTCTTCCGCCGCAAAGGTTCTTTCCGTCTCATCCTGGCTCCAGAACGCGCCGAACGATCCCGAATGATTCGAAACCTCTGCAACTGCCGAATGCACAATGAGAACAAATACGGCCAGGTCCGTGTCGTGACAAACCCTGCGCTGGGTTTTGACACCGCGTCGACCGCTCAGCCTTGAATGGTCGTCGGAGGCTTCGCGGTCGCCAGATCGCTCCAAACTGCCGGATTCCAGGCCTCTGGCAGCGTTCAGCCTTGAACGCCGGCGGCGGAGTCACCGCCGCGTCGCCGCGACGCGAGCTCCCGCACGTGCTCGCGTGCTGCACGCGCGGGCCCAGCCGCCTGAGGGGGAGCGCGCCGCGGACTGCGGCAGCGCCGCGTCTGCCGGCGACCTCCACGGCGGGGAAGGGGCAGACAGAGGAGGTCTGCACAGGCACGCGCAGGTCCAGGCCGGGCCAAGCATGGGCCCAGGCCGGTCTCTTCGTCCGGGAGGAGGGGATCAAGTGATGCTCCGGGAAAGCGGGTGGTTCTCCAGGATATGTGGAAAGGTGGCCCCATGCCGAGAGGTGGCTCTGTGCCGAAAGGACAAGTTTTCTGGGAAGGGTGGCCCCATGCCGAAAGGGGTTGCTCTCCGGGTGGGGTTATCTTTCAAGTTTCCTGTCCCTACTCTGAAAATACTCAAATCCCAAATGTGCATCCAAAAACGAACGCTAAACACCGAACGCCACAAACCAAACACCAGACACCCAACACCAGGCCACAACCCCCAAGCACCAAAGAACAAGCACCGATCACCAATCACAACACACCAAGCATCACATTCTAAATGCAAAGCACACCAGACACCAAGCAAATCACAAACACCAGCCTCTGAACACAAGACACCAAACTTGGAACGAAGGATAAGAAGGGGAGAAGGGACAGAGGAGGAGGACATTGCTTCAAACAAGACGGTTCAAAAAGCGAACGGGCCTCAATCGACAACCTAATTACGTGGTCAGACATCTGCGCGATCAGTAGCCGCGCTGGATGCTGGCGCCGGCGCGATCTGAAGATATGCCGCAAGGAGACTTGCAAACGAACACGTGAGTCTTGGCTGGTGCTCCTTACTAAAGGCTTCGCTGGGAAGCTCCCAAGCGCTTCGACCACTTACTGTCCCTCTCCCTCCAGCTCATCGTACTACAACTACTTTTGCAGCGTCGCCTGCCAGTGCCACTACCACCCACAAGTATATTACATCAACAACTACAACTACAACTACAAACACAACTACTACTACTACTACTACTACTCCTACTACTACTACTACTACTACTACTACTACAAATACTACTACTACTACTACTACTACTACGACGACGACGACGACGACCACGACGACTACTACTAGTACTACTACTACTACTACTACTACTACGACTACTACTACTACTACTACTACTAATACTACTACACATACTACAACTAAGACTACCACTGCTTCTGCTACTGCTACCACCAAAGCTACTACGACTGCGACTACTACGATTACTACTCATACGGTTACTGCTACCACTACTACCACTACTTCTACTACCACTACTACTACTACTACTACTACTACTACTACTACTACGGCTACTACTACTACGAGTACATCTACGACTACGACAACTACTACAACTACTACGGCTATTACGACTACAACTACGACTACTACTACTACTACGACGACTACTACCACAACTACTACTACGCCTACTACTACTACTACTACTACTACTACTACTACTACTACTACTACTACTACTACATGTACGACTACGACTACGACTACGACGGCTACTACTACTACTACTACTACTACTACTGCTACTACTACTACTACTACTACTACTACTACTATTGCTACTACGAACTACCAACCTGCTGAAATAAAGACTATGACTACGACTACTTCGACAATTCCCACCACGACGGCTACGACTACAACTGCAACTACAACCACAACGACTGCGAATACAACTACTACGAATACTACAACTACTACTGCGACGACCACGACGAGAACTACTACTACGACTACTACAAGTACAACCACTAGAACTACCACTACTACTACTACTACTGCTACTACTACTACGACTACTACTACTACTACTACTACTACAACTAGTCCTACTACTACTACTACTACTACTACTACTGCTACTACTACTACTACTACTACTACTACTACTACTACTACTACTACTAATACGAATACTAAGACTACTACGGCTAGTACTACGATTACGACGGTTACTACTAAATCGCCACTACTACAACAAATCAAAACAATTCTACCAATACAACGACGTCTAGTACCACTGGCAGCCCAACAGTAACACAACTACCAACACCACTCCTAGTAGCACTTCTGTTTATACGATAGGGGCTACCACTACTACTACACAAACTGCTGCCACTCCTCGTGCCATGACAAATACGACGAACTACCAGCATCAGCGATATCACGACTGCTGCACCAACAACAGCTACCTTTTGGGCGAATACGGCGACTACTAATACTATCACTACTACGGCTACCACTAATATTACGAACGGAGAGGGGGCGGCCGCCACATAAAGCGGAAAGCGAACCGAGGTACCTGACGGGTCGCTGCCACCCCTCAAGTGTAGAGTAGGCCCGCTGCTTGAGAGGTAATCCCTAAAGCAGGGTCAAGCGTTCGAACGCCACAACCAAAATCAAGCCCGCGTATGGAGAGGGGGGGCATCACACACACGCACACACAAGCGAACGCACACAATGTGTCCGCCGGCGGCCAGGCGGGTTTCACCGTAGCACGTGCTGGACGGACCAGGCCTAATCTGATTACCACCTGGCCTTATTGATAAACGGCCAGAACGTGGTTGATGCATGCAGCAAGACGCCGCCGAGGCGGATGCACGTGAAAAGCGCCGCAGGCAACGCAGGCCTTCTAATCGCACCTTCTAGTCTGCTGGCGCGGCTGCGGGTGCGGCGCCGATCTTCTGGTGGTCGCGGGCAGCTAGAGCAGGTCACCCCGAGACAAGCAGCAGGAGGAGCCGACTGGAGAGAGGAGAGAGAGAGACAGATAGAGAAGAGAGATAGAGAGAGAGAGAGAAAGAGGGAGAGAAAGAGCAAACAACCCCAAAAAAGAGACAGAGAGAGAGAGAAGGCAAGAGACCGAGAGGGCGAGAGAGCGCGAGAGAGAGGGAGCGAAAGGTTGAGAGAGCGAGAGGGCGAGAGGGCGAGAGAGAGAGAGAGAATCAGAGAGAGAGAGAGGGCAAGAGAGCGACAGGGCGAGAGAGCGAGAGAGAGAGAGAGGGAGCGAGAGAGTGAGAGAGCGAGAGGGCGAGAGAGACAGAAAGAAAGAAAAGAGAGAGGGAGAGAGAGCGGGCGAGCGAGCGAGCGAGAGGGTGAGAAAGCCCGTGTGCGCGCCAGTAGCTCAACGGCTGCCACCACCATAATGGGCGTTTGGGGCGCGAGTCCACTCTAGCCGATCCCGCGGAGGCTGCCTCGACGACAGCACAGACCACCAAGGCCCACACTTTGCGAGTCCGCGGGCGCCCAGTGGTCCAAGACAGTCAGACGACAATCAGCAAGCGGTGGGGTGCACCGGGAGCGAATTGAGGCATCAAGGCGAAAAGGAAGCACATCGACAGACATCTCACGGGTTCCGAGATGCAGCGACGCACTATGGCCGTCACCGCGAGGCAACCGCCCGCTGGACAGACTGTGCCATACGGGGCGCATGCAGCCGTGATGTGTGTGCGCGCTTGGGGCTCCAGCTCGCCTCGCGCATGGATGCTGCAACAGCGGTGGTGCGAGGCAGTGCCATTCCTTCCTGGGTGTCGACTTGCACCCTTGCGCACGAACCAGTGGTTGAAGCAATCGGTCCGAGAGACGTCTGGCGAAAACGACCCTGGAGAGAAGGCGAGGCAGCAGCACGGTGACCACGGTGGGGCGAGTGCCTCACCCGCTCGCGCGAGCCACCTCACGAGTGGACTTGTAACGGTCGGAACCAGACGCCCACGCACACGCACACAAGTTGTCCCCCGACGCGGCGATGGAGAGCAGTAGCTGGTTCAAGAACTACCAAATCGGGGTGCGAACGAGGACAAATGCGCACACTTTACGGGGGATGCACGTGCTAAGCTGAGAACCCCAATGAACGTCGAACGTAGCCGACCGCTGGACAGCAGAGGCTAGAGGATCGCGCTGCGTCGCCGACCCATCGCAAATGCATCGGCGATGCGTCGGGAACGTCGGCGATGCATCGGCGACGCATGCGTTAAGAACATCGGGTTCAACATCGAGCCGCATTACCGATGCATCGGCGATGCGGCGCGACCCCCCGAACCCATCTACTCCGGCCCAGTTGGGAGACCTTAATACCCACGCACACACACACATTTTGGCGTCGCGGGCCTGCGCAATCGCACGCGCGCGTCTAGGAGCGTCCGAGCCTCAGACGCACACGCACACGCACACACACACACACACATACCAACACACGCACACACACACACACATGCACACACACACACCAACACACGCACACACACACACACACACGAACAACAACTGTGTGCACGCAGTCGTACCATCGGGCACGGAAAGGAAAGGCGGGGCGGCAGCCCGGACCTCGCGCCCCGAGCCGCCGAGGAGAGCGCCCGCGGCGCTGCGGATGGCGCGGTGCCGACCAAGGCGGGCCTCTTCGAGGGGCCTCGCGGCCGGCCGGTCAGCGAGCACACGGCGACGGCGTCGGCGTCGTCAGAGATATTCTCTGGGGAGCAAAAGTGGGAGGTAGCCCCTGCAAAATCTTCCGTGGGAGCGACTGAGGACTCTTGGGTCCCGATTCAGGGGCCATCAGGCTAGACAGCGCCCGACTAAGCCCTGGATGAAATCCGCCGGCCCCCTTGTGGGGCCACCAGGCTGCGATGCGCGTGATTCGCAGTTTCCTGTACCAGTTGTAGTTTGTAGTTTCCAGTGTTACAGTTCTGCTTCTTGCTGGTCACTGTAACTAGTTGATTGACCGCGCGAGGGGAGGGAGGCCCAAACCAGATTTTTAGAACCACCTGGGCGCGTTGTCTGAATTGCTGGGTGGGCTCAAAATCGACACCCCTCACGCAGATCCGCGGGGTCAGGGTCCAAAAACACAGGGGATTTGCCACATTTCTGAAATTCGGTGCCACCCCTCACGCAGATCCGCGGGGCCAGGGTCCAAAAACACAAGGGATTTGCCACATTTCTGGAATTCGGTGCCACCCCTCACGCAGATCCGCGGGGTCAGGGTCCAAAAACATATGGGATTTGCTACATTTCTGAAATTCGGTGCCAGCCCTCACGCAGATCCGCGGGGTTAGGGTCCAAAAACATAAAGGATTTGCCACATTTCTGAAATTCGGTGCCACCCCTTTCTAAAATTCGGTGCCACCCCTCACGCAGATCCGCGGGGTCAGGGTCCAAAAACACATGGGATGTGCTACATTTCTGAAATTCGGTGCCACCCCTCACGCAGATCCGCGGGGTCAGGGTCCAAAAACACATGGGATTTGCCACATTTCTGAAATTCGGTGCCACCCCTCACGCAGATCCGCGGGGTCAGGATCCAAAAACACAGGGGAGTTGCTACATTTCTGAAATTCGGTGCCACCCCTCACGCAGATTCGCGGGGTCAGGGTCCAAAAACACAGGGGATTTGCCACATTTCTGAAATTCGGTGCCACCCCTCACGCACATCCATCGCAAGGCGTGGTAACCCAAACTGCGAGTACTCCCTCGGCCCTTTAATCCCAAGGTGTGGTAACCAAACTCGTAAACCATACACGTCTTACCAATCGCACTGTGTGGTAACCCCTCTTGTGATCAGTTGGTCTTGCCGATTGCGAATCGGCCTCCATGAAGTTCCGATACTGCTGCACGACAGCGCCAAAGCCTCATGACTTAGCTCTTCCATGGCCCATTCTCCGAGAGAGGGGGCCGGCGGCAGGGGGCGAAACCCTTACGGATTAAATCAAACATAATTAAACGGGATTGAGCTGGATTGATATGCGGAAAATTGGATTAGACTGGTCCACGGTCACGACTGTAACAACGCCGACGCTGCATTCAACCTCCCAAGCGTTGCAGCGCAGCAGTTTACAAATGAGCGAATAATCTTCGTGTAGCTTGTTTGGAGGGCGCAGCGAGGCGCCGGGAACAACCACGCGTCGGGAAGAGACCCTGGCGGAAGAGCCAAGACCAGCTGCAGATAGCACGCGGGACCACCCAAGCAAAACCTGTTGTGAGATACGCCGTCCAGAATCGCCGCACCGACTCGGGGGGAGGACGAAATCCGGAGGAGACCCCACCCAGGAAATCGGTGTCGGTGTCGTGTTCGTGCCGCGCGTGCGGGCGAAGCGAAGCTGCGTGCGCGGGCGCGAAATCAAAACAAAACACTCCCCTTCCGCTTAGCGGTCCCAGGGGCAGGTTTGCCGTGGTTGCCTTGGGGTTGTCCCGCGGTGTCCCGTGGGGGTCCCGCGGTTGTCCCGATGGTTGTCCCGAGGGTTGACCCAACGTTTGGAACGAGGGTTGTCTCGTTGTCTCGTTGGTCAGATAGTTGTCCCGATGGTGGGTTGTTGTCCCAAGAGGCCGATCGATTGATCATCGTAAGGCCGATGGAGAAATAGCGGGATCGATAGATCGAACATGAAATTGGCCGATATTACATGCAGCAGAAACCGTAGATCAGACGTGGATCTGGATAATTCATGTAAGTATGGTCACATCGACTTACATATATATATATACACATATACATATATATATATATATACACGCATAGGAGGTTGGGGGGGGGGCGATCGCAGTAAAACGGAGACCCCCCACCTGGAAATCGGTTTCGGTTTCGTGTTCGTGTCGTGCGTGCGGGCGAGGCAAAGCTGCGGGTGATCCTCCTGTAGCTAGGCCGGAATAGGAGCGAAAAACCGCTCCTGTCCGCCGGTGGCTGGGAAGTGTCCCAATTGGGCCGGGCGGTGTCCCGGGTGTCAATAGGAGCGAGAGTCCGTTTCCCGTCCGCCGGTGGCCGGGACGTGTCCCAGTTTGGCCGAGCGGTGTCCCGGCGCTAACGCATGTTGCTGACGTCATAATCCTTTTGTTTCTCCACCTGCGGCGGGTTTTTTTCATCCAATCCCGCTTACCTTATCCAATCCAGATTGTCCTATCTAATCCACGATATCTGTTCAAACCCATTGTTTCCCCATCTTATCCCATCAGACCCAATCCACACAACCCAATCCATCAATTCATTTGTGTCTGCGCCATCGGCGGGCCAACTCAATCCATACTATCTTATCCAATCCGTTTCTTCTAATCCAACGAATCGTATCTTATCCAATCCATCTTGTCATATCCAATCCACCCAACCAAATCCATCGTTGCATTTTTGTCGGCGCCTGCGGCGGGCTTTCTTGTCCAATCCAGCTTAAGGTATCCTATCCATCTTGTCCAATCCAATCCACCTTATGTTTCAAACCCAGATTGTCTCATCTTATCTTATCCCATCCAATCAAAGCCATCCAACCCAATCCATCAATTCATTTGTTTATGCGCTTGCGGCGGGCCAATCCAATCCATCTTATCCTATCAAGTCCACGTGTTCCAATCCAACCCACGTAATCTTATCCAATACATATTACCATATCCAATCCAAACAACCCAACCCAATCCATCAAGTCATCGTTGTCTGTCGGCGGATAGGTAGATAGTGGGATCTCATCGCCATCGCCATCATCATTGTTGCGGAAGGAGACTCTGACAGAGAAGGAGAGAGAGAGAGAGAAAGGGCGAGAGAGAGAGAGAGACAGAGAGAGAGAGAGAAAGAGGAATATATGATATCAAGGTGACAGGCTGAAGGTCAGTCAGGGTGGGCATTTGATCTCAATCCCCCCAAACCTCCTTATCGCCCGCAGGGAGGTCGTACATGATATGTATATGCGAACGCATGCTTAAGTGCGCACGCAAGAGTATGTGTACGGATAGAGGGAGATCGTGTTCCGACGGTTGTCCCGTGTGTGTCCCGATGGTGAATTGATTGGTTGGTTTCTGAGGTCAGCACACATAACTACATGTATACATGTGGTGACGCCGTTCTGGAATATTGACACTGATGTTTGTAATCGCGCATTGCATATGGGAAATAGCGCATACTAGAAACACTCGCGCGCGCGAGTGAAATGGCACTGAGGCGGTGGGAAACATAACCTGGAATACTTTTGGCTCATGCTGGCCGTTGCTTCGGAGGACTGGCACCAGCTGCCGCTGTCAGCGCCTCAAGGACAGAGCTGGCCACCGCCACCCCGCTGGCGGCGGCTCCGACGGCTCGCCCAAGGCTCCCTGGCGACCAGCACGGCGCGCCTAGGCCGCCAAGCAGCAACCCTGGCAGACCTGCAGCGCCGAGCAGCGCCGCGCCTCCTGTAGGTCCAGCCACTCTGGCCTGCGCGCACCAGCAGCGGGGCCGCCCGCGGCGCCGTGGTGGGCCGCGCCCGCGCCCCCTGGCACGTCGGGCGCCGCCGCCGCCGCTGGGCCACCAGGGCCGCCAAGGGGCCGCCGAAGCCGCAGCGGCCGCCAGCGCCGTCGAGCCCGTGATTTGCGCCAGTGGAAACCTTGGCGCAAATTCGCTGCGGCCCCCCTCGGGGCCGGCCGGGAGCGCCTCTGGGACCGTTTGGCGCGCCGCCGGGGCCGCTGGGCGCGTTGGCGGAAGCGCCAGAGGCGCGACGTCGCCAACAAGGCTGGCCAGGCCAGCGCCTGCGGCCGGGTCCGCCTCGAGCTCCGCTTCCGCAACTACGGCCCCCGATGCAGGGGCCGAGCCTCCAGCGCCGCCCGAGCCGGCGGCGCCAGCCAGCACGCCGCCGCCGGCGGAGCCAGCCGCCCCGACCGCATGGGAATTGGCCGAGTGTTGGCCCGACTCGGCCTCGCAACGCGCAGGCGGGGCAAACTCGGCGAAGGAGGCCACCAGCTCGGGGATATCTTGGGCGACTCTTGGGCCGTCCTGTGGCGATTCTGGGCTGTCTTAGGGCGCTGTTAGGGGCCTCTTGGGCTGCCTTGGGGCGTTTCGGGGGGCTCCTCGGGCCATCTTCAACGCCACGAAAACAAGAACAGCATACATGCTAAAAACGCACGCCTCCCGATGGAAAGTCAACAATTAGGGGGGTGGGGCGCGTTTTTGGGCGTCCTGGACTCGGGGCGTCTCGGCCAGTCTCGTGGGATGTTTTGGGGTCATATTGGGCGTTTTGGAGCGGCTCTTTGGCGATTCGCATCCCTCTTGGGACGTCGTGGGGGTTTTGGAGGCCTCCTGGCCCGTCTTGGAGGGGCCCAGGACCCCTGCAATCGGCACGGGGGCAAGAATAACATCGATCAATCAATAATGGCATCCCCGCACTGATATTGAGATCCATGCGTATGTGATTGGATCGGTGGGAATTTAGATAGTGAGACCGGCCGAAAGATTGCCTCGATGGTTGTCCCGATGGTTGTCCACATGGTAGCGCTATGGATTGATAGTGCGATCGTTGCACTGAAAGGTTGACCGACATAGTGTTTACGACTGGGAACGAGATCCATATCTTTATCCATATATATATGTATATGTATGTATATGTGTGTATATACATGTGCATATTTATATACAATATATATATATATATATATATATATATATATATGGTCGGTCCCCCCACCGACCCCCCAAAGCGCTCCAAGCACGAAGCCGCGGTGATCGCTGCTATTTTCCTTCTGCCCTGTTCCAATGTTTCGTTTCCTTTTTTCGTTTCCTTCCACTTTCCAAGTTTACGTTCCCTTCCACTTTCCCCATTTCCTTTGTCCTCCTCCTTGTTGCAAAGCAAACAGCAAAGAATACACAGTGTTTGGTGCCCTCGGTGCAACGAAACGCTGTGCATTTTTGGTAAGGGAAACAACGAAACACTGTGAACGTTTTTCTGTTTTGGAGGCTGGAATGCTCCCCGCGCCCCCCCCTCGGCACCGCCCCCCTCCTTTTGGGGGGCCTCCAAAACCAAAAAAAACATACACAGTGTTCGGCGCCCTCGGTGCAACGAAGCGCTGTGCATGTTTGGTGCGTTTTGTTTCGTGGTCTGGGGAGCAACGAAACACTGTGCAGGTTTCGTTGTTTGTTTTTTTTGTTGGTTGTGAAGGCTCCCCAGAGGGAGGGGGGAGGTGCCGAAGGGGGGCCGCGGGGGGACATCCCAGCGTCCAAATCCAAAGCAGCGAAAAAACACAAAGCTTCCCACACCAAAAAAAACATTAACAAATGTTTCGTTGCACCGAGGGCGCCAAACACTGTGCATTCTTCGTTTCTGATATTGCAGCAAGGAGGAGGAATGGACAAAAGGGAAGGGAGGGAAAAGGGCTCACATACCGCGTCGGATCCGATAGGGGGCAAGTCTCGTCTGATCCGTGAGCCGACTGAAACCTGACTGCTCCTGCGAACGAGCATCGATGCGGGCCAGCGCACAGCCGCCGGCCTGCCTTGGACGCTCGACCCCTGCTTGTTCAGGCAACGGAGAACGAGGAGACGGCGGAGGAATACGGGGAACTGGGGAAGGAGAGGGAGGACGACAAGGAGGGAGATGTGCACGTAACTGCTCCACTCGGAAATCGGCAAGCGCACGCGCTCATAATCGTTTCATACAGCGCAAGCGCCCGAACGCGCCTGCTCGCCTACGCAGACATCAAAGCCCCGTGCTCTCGTTTCATATTACACCCGCCCGCGCCCGAAACGTCCGCTCGCATGCGCAGGCATCAAAGATCCGCGCCCCGCCCGCCCCACTTCTCTCAAACTACGTTGCTCTAGCAGGATCACTGGCCGTGCTTCTTGAGGAACGTGCCAATCGATCTGGGTCGGCTCGGCAGCGGCGCCGCACTCGTTGTCTCCGCCGAACCGAGCTTGGCCCCTCTTGAACTTGGCCGCGCCCCAACGCACGCACACGTTCGATTCGACTTGCGTCGGGCCGAAGCACGCCTTCAACACGCGCGGCCGCTGGTCGGCCAAGTCGCCGTCGTCGGACACGCACGGCGCCCAGGGCCCCCCGACCTCCGCAGAGCTCCGAAGAAGCGTCGGCATGGCGCTTCTGAGCCAGATGCGGAAGCGCGATGACGACTCCCTTTTCAGATCCCTGGCCCCCCCCTGAAGAAGCCCATCTCGGAGGCCACGCGCGCGGCTGGAGTGCCGACCCTGCGGCCGCGCTGCTCGTTCACGCAGTCGGCGAGGTACCTGGCCATCGCCATGGCAATGATGTACATCATGGGCGTCTTGTCGCCAATCGCGAGGACGGCGTTGCCGAGGAGATTGCGTATGATCCTGTCGACCACTGGCGCGTGCTCTGGGCGTGCGCCCCCCTTCAGCAAGGGATAGTGCGTCTCCTTCGCCGCGAAATGGTCGCGGCCCTTGAGGATCTCAAGCACCTGGTCGGCGAACTCCTTTCTCACGTTGGCGAAGGGGGATGCTGGGTCGACGCGTTCCACCCACAGCAACTGCTCGCCATCCGAGTTCGCGCGGGGCACTTCGTCCTTGATGCGCCGCATTGCGTCGGCGAGCTCCTTCTGCTTCTGCGCCACGTCGCCCTCGCCAACTGGCCCATTCAACGCAATTGCCCACTCGAACCTCCAATCGCGAAACAGAATGCCGCCCGTCCGCTCGAGCATGACCTGGAACGCGCGCAAGCTGTTTAAACTGTCTGGCTCGAAATCGATCGCAAGGGTCGCCGTGGATGGGTTAGGCCTGGATGGTGCCCATGCGTTCCCCGTCGCCGAGGAACGTGAAGTGCTTCGCGACAATGTACTTTTCTGGGTCGGATGGGTGCATGCGTACGAGGATGTTGAGCGTACAAGGCAGTTCGTCCTCGGTGTCGGTGTGCCCGCAAGGGGGCGGCAAGTCCATCTACCTACCCTCAACCATGATCATTTTCACGTCGCCCCACGCCACCGTCTCCATCCCAGGCGCATCAGTGATCAGATCGGCAACGGACTTGACGTACGCCCTTGGCCTGTAGCTCCACTCCTTGATAAGCAGGTCAAACAGCGATACGGAACCGATGGGTTCGCGGCTCAGGTCACCGACGACGTCGGGCTTGCCGAGGACGACAGCCTTATCTTTGCTGTTGGCATGACTCCATATTTCTATGAGCTTGGCGTTCGTGTGGTGGGGTTATCCAGCCACACGCCCACGCTCTTCATTCCCTGCGCGGGCACGTTGGGCGTCTCAACCACCGCCTTGGGCGCCATGACGGGAGGATATCGGGGCGCACTGGTCGCACAGCAGCATATGGCGTTTTCCTTCGATCTTGAGCCAACGGAACGACGCGGGCAACGGCATTTGCATGATGTTGGGAAAAAGGATTGAACACCCGAAAGGAAGCAGCAGCGTGTCCACTCAAACGAATTTTTGCTTTGCAACAAGGATGGGGAGGGAGAAGGAAGGACAGAGGACGGGAGGGAGGATGAAGAGGAGGGAGGGAGGAGGGAGGGAGAGGGTGGGGAGAGAGGAGGAAGGAAGGAACATGGGGAGGACGGAAGAAGAGGGAAAGGGCTTACGTTATGTCATGTCTATATCCATATACGTGTATGTATCCAGTATACATATATGCAAAGATATCGATAGATGGCGCGTGAGATCGATGCCGGTGCCAACACCACCCCAAACCTCCTTAGCGGCCATCGGACGGTCTTATAGGTGTGCAAAACTGGTTCTTATCCTGGTGCCCCGACCAGGATGACACCAGTGCAGGTCTGGCCGCCCTGGCCAGGGCGCCTCGTCGTTGTGCGTCGACATCTGTGCCATCGTCTTTGTCGTCGTCATCGTCATCGTCGTCGTCCGTGGTCACTATTCTTCCGTCGTCCGTCGTAATTCGTTCATTTGTCGTCCGTCGTCGGCCTCCGTCGTCGTCATCCGTTGGCGTTATCCGTGTCCTTGCCGTAGTCGTTATTGTCGTCGTCGTCCGTCGTCAGCCTTCGTCCGTCGCTGTCTGCCGAAGGGCACAAAAGGAAGGTGAGCTTCGGGCTGTCTCTTGTTGTGGGCCCCGGGGTCCAAAAAAAGGAATCCAGAGGCCTCAGAACGCAAGCCCTTGGAGTATTGGGTAGGCCCGATGAAAGCTTACTGGTCAGACTGTAGGCCTTGAAAAATGGATTGTGCGCCGACGTGAGGTGAGCCATATTAGGCCAGATGCTCACATTCAGACCGATAATTAGTCATCCTCCATGCAGAATTTCATCAAGCTCAACAACCAAATTGAACACCCTCTGATGTGCTGCCTTTTCTGGGACGCCAGAGGTCTGAGATAATCATTCCATCGCAAGAAATGGATGATTGCAAAAGCGCCGTTCCGGCCGATTCGGGACGATTATGCGCTCCCCAGCAAACTCTCGACAAGGTGCCGACGAAGGAAAACACCCAGGAGCATGAGAACCCCGATCGACCCACGCCACCGGCCCCCGAAAACTTCCCAAGACTTGCGAAAGCAAGTCAAGACCCAGTGATGTTTCGGCGCGCGCAAGGAGGTGGGGCGAGAGTAGTGGCTTCCTACCCGAAGAAGTCAGCGGGCTTCACAGATGCCCGCCCAACATCTTGATCGCTCGGAAAACCCCCCAAATATATGACCCACTCGTCCCACCCTACTGTGCGCGCCGCCAACCGATGGCACCGCGCAGTCTGGACTGCGCAAGCCTCCGATCGTGCCGCCGACCTCCGCGGCCATTGTCGTCACCCTTGCGCGCCGCCGAAAACCCTTCAGATAATTAATCGAAAGTCTCCGAAGATCTCGTGATCTCTCCAACGGCGTCGGGATCAAAGTCTGTCGAGTGTGGACAGAAGAAGGTATCCAGGGGAGCCTTCAAAGCCACAGTGCCTCCCGAGCACCCCTCACGAGCCCCAGAGGGCCTCGGGGGCCCCAAAATGGCGCGAAACGCCCTTGGCAACCTCCGACAGAGGGCGGCAGCGACGGCGACGATGGCGGCGGCAGGGGCGCGCGGACGCGACGGCGCTGGGAGCGACGACAGCCTGCGGCGGAGACGGCCTCGACGACAGGGATGCGCAGTCGCGGCGCCCAAGGCGTTGACGATCTCGCTCCTCTTGAGCAGTGGCCGACCGTCCCGAAATTCCTACAGACCCACCCCGACGAACATTTCGCGCAAACCACGGGAAGTGCTCAGAACATCATTTGGTGGGCCCAATAGGCAAGCCAAGGCGCCCCGGCACTGGCTGATCCTCCTCGTTGCTTCTCCTCCTCTCCCGGGTCCTCTTCCTGGTTCTCCTCCTGGTTCTCCTCCTGGTAGTCGTTCCTCCTCGTCGCAGTTCCTCCCCCTCCTTCTCCTGGTCGTCGATCCTCCTCCTCCGAGCGCGGCCGCCCGCCTAGGCTTCGCGATTCGCCCCTAGAGGCCGCCGCCTCCGCGCTGGTCGCTCCAGGGGAACCCGCGCCTGCGCCGCAGGGCGGGGCGGAGGGCGCTTGGGGCGCCCCGGGGGAGTCGAAACCCCGAGGGGCGACACGCCAGGGGCCTCGGGCAAGCAGAAGAGAAAGGGGGGGAGGAGGAGACGGAAGAGGAGGTTCTACTGGGGAGGAGAAGGATGGCAGCGGAGGGGGGGGGGAAGAGGAGAAGGGGGGAGGAGGAAGAGGAGTTACTGGAGAGGAGAGCGAGGAGGAGGCAATACTTGTGCGGGGTTGAAACTTCCTCATTCTTCCACTCTGCCTCGTGGTGGTGGAGGAGGGAATGCCAGACGAAGCCTGGCCGTGGTTCAGGCAAGAGGCCACGCTTGGGGGATCGAAGTCCAAAAAGACATGTGGCCTCTGAGACCCGAAAGGAGCTCAGGACCCTCGGGGAGCCTCGGGAAGCTCCTCCTCCTCCTCCTCCTACTCCTCCTCCTCCTACTCCCTATCCTACTCCTCAACTGTCTGCTGATGCCTTTGTCCACATGTTCATTGCGTGTACTCTGCAGGGCAAGAACTACCTACCAGCGCTGCGTGTGACAGTGAGCCTGGAGCTCTGTGAGCGCTGCAGAGCTCAAACGACCGCGCGTACGGATGATATCAACCCACGCACAACACCCACCAACCAACCCCTACTGCCAACTTCCGTAAGTGTAGTCGAGCAAATGTGGCCCGTCTGCTTGTCAAGCAATTCTGACTTTGAAGCCCCCCTATGCCGAAGGCATTTCTGACAATTGAGATCCGACGTAAAATTACACTGCGGATCACCATCCCCAGGCCCGAACTGCAAATCAGCCCGTGGTCAGGTAGCCTCAGCCGAGCTGACTTTCTGGCCGAGCGGTTGTCATTAGTGGGGGAGGGGAAAGCTGCGATGCCGACCGCGGATGCCTTCCGAATCACCGCCTCTTCAATGCCACGACGGGAGAACCAACTAATCATTCGATACCGCGCTTCTGTAAAAGATGCGGAGCTCGAGGCCGGTGCCCTCAGACGCTGTATCTCGGCACGTGGCCAATTGAAATGGACTGCCAGCGAATGGAAAGAGCACGATATGAGAGGCAGCTTCTGGCCAGATGGCTTCAGGAAGGGCATTACATATAAAATCCCTGTTGCCTTGATGCGAGGACCTTTAGACAAAAAAGGTCACGTCAGGCATGTTCAACTTTCGCAATGCTCCTGTCCACATCGATGACGCCATCGTCCCGTAGCGGCCTGCGGACACGTTCCAAATGCTGGATGGAGCCCGGAATGCCTGCGAAGATCAGAACAATGTCGCATCTGTGCCACATGCATTCTAACACCCCGCACTCTGACACAACTGGTGGGCCTGCAACGAATTTCTTCCCTGCCAAATGGTGCAAATACAAGTCAGTGGGTTCGCCGGTATGCGTTTGACCAGTGCCCCCGAGACCAGGGCCACCCTCCAGACCTCTTCGGGGAAGTACTCTGTAATGACACTGGATGGAATAGGCACTGTAGGGCGCCCCTGAGAACCTCACGCTGGTTCTTAGAGAATGTGCCTCCCACTAGGTTTACCACCCTGTGGTTGACCGCCTTGAACATGAACATCTGTGATCTCTGGCTTCGCAAGCCCCACTAATCCAGCAAGATAACTTTACCTTTGTTGGGGAAGATTCACTGCGAGGGCGTCTTTGTCTCTGAACATGTGGGCCCACTGCATTGCCGTCTCGGCCAGCATACTTTGGAACACGCTGCTGAGGCCAGAAAACGGGTGCAACGAGGAGGAATGAATTAAGCGTGCTGAGATGTCCTCACTGGGCTTATGGATTTCCGCTGTGTGCGAAAGTTTTGACAAGGTCTCTGTTGCGCTACATTTGCGTACCTCTTGTCGCAGGAAAGCCCGCGAGTCCTCGTCACACTACGTACCAGCCACGGCGTTGCAATGCTTCGTGCACGCAGACATGATCGTGAATAGGTTCGGGGCCCAGTCGAATGCATAACGACGGCTGCGAAAGTGGGGGCCGTCACAAAAGAACTTCTTGCTAGCCACCTGGCCGCCCAGTGTAACGCAACAGTCGTATTGCCCCATCACCAGGGGGTCCCGTAGCAGGCGCTGACTGCGCGACGTAATTCTGAAGCAATGCTTTGGGATAGGCAGCTGGATAACGCTTCTACCTCTACTAGCCCGTGCGACTTGGGTGCACCTGGCGACGATGTATTTTCAATTCGGTGGCCACCACCACAGTTTTGCTCTGTTGTCCGAATCCGATTCCCACTTCATGCAACTGCAAAGATCCGCAGCTGCAGAATTGTAGTTTGGCAAATTAGAAAGTTGCCCACTCCTATACATATGTTTGCGATGGTAACCAAGCAGCAACAAACATACAGGCCATGGGAAGAGCCCGGTTTGGGATGCTCAGCTCCACGATGTCAATGCCTTTGTATACACTCCAAGAGGCTTTGCGGACTTGCCCTTGCTCCAGCCTTTGCCTCCCGTCTTCGCTCTGCTTCCACTCTTTCCACTTTTTTGTTCTGGCAAACCTCCTTTCTTGCCTTTGCCTGATAGTTTACCCTTGGGCTGGCCCTTGAAGCCCTTTCTTCCCCATCTTCCTCGTCATTAGCTGATCGGGTACTGTGCCCCTGGCCTCCACCAGGGGATTGGCCGTTTTCCTGCCGCATCTGTCGTGCAGCCAACTGCTCCTTGGGGTTTCATGGCGGCAGCCTTTGAAAGAATCGTGTCCTGACTCTGCGTGTCCTTCTTCTGTTGTACTTCATGTGCTTCTTGCTTGGCCCGGGCACGCTCCAGCATGCACCTGTATAGCAGTATGGCCTTCTCCTGCATCAACGTGCCCCTTTCTTCGAACATGTCCTGTCGGGTGGCCAAGTCCCATTCCTGGAAGGACGTGGCAGCTTGCGTGGACGACGCTCCCACCATGCTGATGCGCCTCTAATGTGCAAAACCATGTGTTAGCGATGCGATTCTCGATTTGGCCATGTCCACATCTAGCCGTGTACCCCGTTCCTGGAATGTACAATGCAAAATCCTTCCAACATCCCGACAAGTGGAATTCGCTGGGCTGGTGAGCTGAAGGACTACGGAATCATTCATATTTTGATGCTCCAACTCAATCCTATCTTCGGTACATGTCCAGTTTCTTGGAAAAGTCCTTCGTGGTCTTCAGGAGGCCTGCGTGCACTGTAGGATCCATATTGCCCACTTTGGCGATCATGCCCAACATCTCCTTGACATCGTTCGTGGCCAAAGCCTGCGGTGCACCTCAAGGCCGCCATCCCTCGTCGCCCTCGTCGGGCGCGGCGGCGCGTGGACTGCGGGAGCGACGCTCTGGGGCTTGACTTTTCAACAGCTCGTGTGCCACATCGCGGCGAGCCATGGCGCTGGCAACAGAGCACTGGATACATCATCCTCAACTGTCTGCCGATGCCCTTTTCAACCTGACGCTTGTGTGTGCTCTGCCTGGCAGGAACTACCTACCAGCACTGTGTGTGGACAGTGAGCCTGGGGCGCTGTGAGCGCTGCAGAGCTCAAACGGCAGCAAGTATGGATGCTGTCAACACACGCACACACAAGACCCCCGGGGAGCCTCGGAACGCTCCTCCTCCTCATCCTCCTCCTCGTCCTCGTCCTCCCCATTATCCAAGGAACCCACTAGCACCGAGAGGCTTCCAAAATTGCCCATCGGGCTCTCCAGGCCTCCCAAATAGCCCCAAATATGGCTCCAAACCAGCAGTAGGTCGGCGGGCAGTACGAGCGCGAGCAGCACCACGAGGTATCAGTATGATGGGACTACCACTGCGAGCGGCAATAGGAAGGGAAGCAGAGGCACCAAATCGGCTGGGATCATCGTGGCCACTGTGACCAACACGACCCGGACAATCAATATCATTGACAATACGTCGGTGGGCAGTACGAGCGGGAGCAGTAGCACAATGGTTACCATGAATCAATGCATGCCATGTGGGCAGTACGAGCGCCAGTGGCAGAACGATTCGAACTAGGAATACGTCGGAGGGAGCACTGCGACAAAACGCAACAGCGCGCGTGTTACTGGCACAACGGAACCTAGCAACACCGCGTCGGACAGGAGCTCCGTCACCACTGACCAGCGTGAGTGAACAACTCGAGTACAAGCAGGGGCTCATGTGGCACCCACGTGGCGGAGGTTCACCGCGAGCAGCAGCAAGAGAATTACCAGCACGGTGGGAACGATCAGCACCACTGCTACTTGGAACACCATGACAGGCACGACTGGGACTAGCAGCAAACCGGTGAGCAGCACGAGTGCGAGCAGCAGCACGAAGATTACCAGCACGACAGAGACTCGCATAACGGTGCGTCGCTGAACAAGATGGGCGAGAGAACCTGTTTCACCAGCTGCACCACGGCGATCGTTCAGAACAGCACGACTGGGATGTATAGCGTGACCACTGTGGGCAACACGATTGGGACTCGTGGTGCGTTGCTGAGCGGTGCGATTGCGAGATGCAACAGCAACACCAACACGCGTGCCACCAGCGAGACTCGGAATTTCTCGGGCAGCGACACCAACGCGCGCGTGCAGCAGCACAAGAGTTACGTAATAACACAGCTGGGACTGGCAAGACGTCGGTGAGTCTGGATGTGGCTTTCTGTGCAAAGGTTACCAGCACAACTGGGACTCGCAATGCATCGCGGAGCAGCACGAGTGCGAGAAACATGTCGTTTTCACAACTGCAATACGGCGATTATGTCAAGCAGCACGACTGAGACAAACACCATGGCAAACCACATTTGGGATTGCTAGTACGTTCGTGAGCAGCGCGATTGCGAGCATCAGCGGCAGCAGCAACACCAGCACGAGGGCAACCATCACGAATGGGACTCGCAGCGCCTCTGTGAACAGTACGAGTGCGTACAGCAGCCTGCATGTCCCTTAGCAGCACGACTGTTACAAGCAGCACGTCAATGACGAGAAGGAGTGCAGGCAACAATGCGATGTTACCTGCACCACGAGAATCAGCAATTCCGCTGCGCTTCGCACGAACGTTACCAGCACAACACGTGGCCGGGATGTGGTACTCCTGCCCCCCCTCCAGACATTCGTGTTGGACCTGGCGGGCGGGGACTTCGGAGCATCATCTGGGGCGCGAGGAGGAATTGCAAGATCGTGCTGACGATGGTCGATGGCCTGACCCGACGCCTGCGGGCCGCCCTCCCCCGACGCCGCACACCTGCCGTGCGCGCGGCGTCGGGGGAGGGCGGCCCGCACACCCGCTCCCCACCAGAGGGATTGGGGGGGGGAGGGAAGCCCTGTGTGCGGGACGGGGTGGGCACGGAAGGGCACCACACGCGCCTCCCAATCTCACAGGGCCCAGGCATCAGAAGCCTGCCTGACACCACCGGGTATTTGGGCAACATGCATCTGCTCCCCGACGACACTGGCACTTTGCACATTGTGCGTCGTCTCATGTACAACCCCCAGCAACGGTCGTATACTCAATCAATTCACCCTCCTCCACCTCCACGTCTAGAAGAAGCAAAAACGGCATAAGCATAAACAGTTAGAGGTCCGCGCGGATCTCTTGGATCTGCGCTGGACCCCCCTCGCCGGCGCGCGGAGCGTGCCAGGGGCGGCGCCGGAGGCGCCGCCCGGGGGGCCCCGGCGCAGGCCCGAGAAATCCGCGCGGAGCGCCGGCAGCTTCTGCTCATGTGCTGTTGCTCTCCGATGCTCGGCCTCCGCTCCTCGGGTGAGCCGATCGCACCGTCCCCGCGACCCGGGGCTGGCCAGGGCAGGCGCGGCCCGCTCCTGGGAGGACGGCGGGCTGCCCCTGGGGGCGAGCGGGCGGGCGGGCAGGGCCTGCGCTCTTGCCGCTGCAGTACTGCGCGAAGCCCTGCGCAGGGGCGGAGAGGAGTCCTCCTCCTCCTCCTCCTCCTCCTCCTCCTCCTCCTCCTCCTCCTCCTCCTCCTCTCCTCCTCCTCCTGGGATTCTGGGTTGGCCCCGCGCGCGCCCGCGTAGGGGGCGCGCGGTCCAGGCAGACGACGAGGGCGGCCGCCGAGGACGGGGAGGGCGAAGGCGGCGGCGGCGCACGGCACGACGAAGACGACCGCGGCGGCAGACGGACGAACGCAGCGACGCGAACGACGGCGGCTCCACGGGCGGAGAGGAGAGCAGAGGAGAGGAGCGAGGAGAGGGCTGAGGAGAGGAGGAGCAGAGGAGAGGAGAGCAGAGGAGAGGAGTGAGGAGGAGAGGAGAGGAGTGAGTGAGGAGAGGAGTGAGGAGAGGAGAGCAGAGGAGAGGAGGAGCAGAGGAGAGGGGTGAGGAATCGAGGGCGGAGGTTTTCGGGCGAGTTTCGTCCGCTCTGAGCCTCCATGGGGCGTCTCGCCGCCACGGTCGGACTTCCCTCAAGACCCGGATCACAACGCACTCCAGGAGAGGAGCAGGAGGGAGGCGGAGGAGAGGGATGGGCAGAACTAGGGACTGGCAAGGCATGAGGTTGCGCACAGGCAGCTCCCAAGTGCTACCCCTGGCTGGCTGGCCTCAGCCTGGGCGGCGTGTGTTCAGCAGCCCCGCGGGGCTGCCTCCTGCGGTGCCCCCAGGGCGCTCCGCGTCTCTGGGTGGGTGCGTTCCGCCGCACTGGCCTGCCCTGGGGCCTGTTCACCAGCCTGAACTTGCTCCGGGGGCTGCCTTTGCGCAGCGCCAAGCCGCACCAGCAGGAGGAAAACGGTGAGGACCGCAACGCAAATGAACCAACCAGCCAAACCTTCGAGTCACGAGAACAGGGCAGCATAACGACGGCATGTCCTCTTTGCTCCTTCGCCATCGTTCCTCTCTCCTCTCTCCCTCGTCCCTCGACCTGCCTCCCCACGTACACGCTCCCTGAAATTTTCCTCCGTCTTCGTTCCTCACGAAACTCTCACGCCCTGCATTTGCCCTCCTTCCCTGCACCGTCCCTGCACCTCTCATCTTCCCCTTCCCTCCTGCATTCCCCCTCCAACGCACCCTCCCTATCCCCCCCTTCTCTCTCCACCTCACTCCTTCTTCCACTCGTCGAAACGTCACCATCCTGGATGGAGGAGGGATAGACGGAGTGAGGGAAGGGAGAAAAAAACACGAGGCGATAGCAGGAGGGGGTGAGGAGGAGCGCGGAGGGCGGCAGGAGGAGGAGGGGAGGAGTAGGAGGAGGTGAGACTTGGGGAGGCAAAAAGGATGAGGACGCCGAAGGCGACGACGAAATGCACGGAGAAACAGGGCGCGGACGACGACGACAACGATGACGACGACGACCACGACTTCGACTTCGACGACGACGACGACGACGACCACGACGATGACGACGACAACGACAACCACGACGACGACGACCACCACGACGACGACGACCACCACCCCGATGACGACGACGATGACGACGTCCACGACGAGCGGCGGGGCAGGGCGCCGAAAGGGCCGCGCCCGCGGCCTGCGCGAAGCTGGAAGAGAAAGGCGCCGCGCCGCCAGCCGCCGGACCAGGCAGTGATTTCAACACGTCGCGCACGCGGCGCCCGACCTTCTCCTCCATGCGCCGGAGCGCCTGCGCGGGGGCACGGCGGGGAGTTTGGGGAGCAGGGGCAGAGGGGGGAGTGGGAGGGGGGGGAAGGGGAGAAAGGGGAGGAGGCAGGGAGGAGGAGGGGAAGGGGGGGGGGGATAGTGAGAGGAGGGAGAGGAAGCGAGCGGAGCAGGAAATTTAGAACAAGAAAGGAGGAGGAGGAGGATAATTGAGAAAAGAGGAGGACGACGGGGAGGAGGGGGAAGAGGAAGGGAAAGGGAGGCTGTGGTGGAGCAGGAGTAGCAGAGAAAAAAGGCCGCGCACGCGGATCTCGAACTGTTCCTCTGAAAGCATTTGTTTGTTTGTTTGTTTCGGCGCGCTGCTGACTAGGTTCCGAAAGCAAATAATCAAGGGTCTGAATGGCAGGACGGGCAATTGAGTCTGAACCTGACTGGTGTTCTGAAACGGGCGCGGGAAACAAAGGGGCGGCATCATCCTCGTGTCGAATGTCTGCCACCACAAAGCACAGCGACGACATGGAATCATAAAGCGTGCAATGTTCAGGACCAGCACCGGCCCAAAACGAAATGGTCCTAGCACAAAAAGAGCCCTGTTTACACGTCCCCTGCTGCAGGGGACGTGTAAACAGGGGCCCTGCATAACCTCGAACTGAGCCTTGGTAGCAACATGAGGACCAAGCGTGGCCACAAGACAAGGTTCCCTCCCTCACATACTCGCTCGGCGAACTGGGCCCAGGACCCGCAGGCTCCGCAGAAAGACAAGCGAACTTTAGACCACAAAGTATGGCTCGGATGCACAAGCGTGCCGCGAATCCAGGCAGCCGCCCAAACAGACAGGAGATCCAGGCCCGAGGAGCCCCACAGGGTGTCATGTCTCGGCAGCAGCACCTCGCCACGAGGAAGCTTTCACTTCTTGACATGAACCGCGCCCACCCTCCCCCCACTCACGCACGCACGCGCACGCACGCTCGTCCAGCTCCCAAGAGCCCCCCGCGCTAGACCCCACAGGGGCCTCCGCCGAGGCCTCGGGTTCAAGGGCAGACTCCTCGAGCAGCCTGTCGGCCGCCTCCAGCGCCGCGCGGGCCCCCTCGGACACAACCAGCTCCCAATCGTTGGGGCCCCGCCCAAAAACCCGGTTCGCTTTCCAGAAGTCAAAACGGGGCAGGATGGCGACGGGCGGCAGCGGACGCAGGAGAGTGCGGAGTCCAGCCTCTGTTCCGGTGAAAGCGCCGCACTCCCGACATCGACAAATACGCTGGAAATACGGGGAAGGCCCAACGTGGAGTGCGCCCGCGGCCCGAGAGCGAGGCCCCGGCGCGAGTGATCGGTGCCCAAAGTCAGGGAATATCAAACACTATCGCGATGCAGCTGGCTTCCAAGAAGGCAGGGCGACAGCGAAGGAGGAAGCGCGCCCGCGCTGCAGCGCGCCGCGCTGCAGCCACGTCGGTCGAGTGGCCTTCCCGACCACGATCAGACCAGGAGGGGAGGACAATTCGAAACATGAAGGAGCGCGAATCCCCGGCGCTGGCGCGGCGCCCGCGAGAAGTGCAGGCTGATTGAAAGATCGCGGAACACGAGGCATAGTCGATAAGGCCGGTCGAGACTCCAGCGCTGTGCGCGACCGAAGCACTGGGCAAAGGAAGTGGGACGAGGCCGAGAGACTCCAGCCAATCCGACTCTTCGATCGCGCTCTGATCGACCTGCCAATCACCGTCGACAAAGGCTGGGGCACCTGCGACGCTCAGGCGCGCGCCCAACTCAGCCGCAAGACGAAGCTCGTCGCCGCCCAGCTGGCCGCTGGCACGCAAGTCGACCACCCCGAGCGCACAGAGGCATGCCAAAGACGAAGAGCACAGACTAGCCAGCGCGGCGAGCCTACAACAAAACTACTCGCCAGCTGCATGCGCGAGCGAGATCGAGCCAAGGCGAAAACGTGCAACCGCGGAAGTACCAGAAACAAGGGGGTCATCAACATCGGCGCGGCGCGCCTCCCGAGCCGCGACGCGCCAGCCTGACTCGCGCAAGTTCTTGACGAGGTCTGCGAACTCTGGCGGCGCTCCACAAACGGCGCCGCGTCCGCGCCCGCGCGCGCCATCCTCCGACCGGCCGTCGGGCCCAAACGTAGGCTAGGGTTCACAGACTTCAGCGATCTAGGCTTAAGCGAGGCGCTCGAGGCGGCAGATGGCCCGGCAGCCCTTCCGTTGTCTTCGCGAGGCGGCTAGAATGGAGGCTTCTTGCCCCTGGCCTCTTCCTTGGCCTGCGCTGCCCTCTGCTGCGCCTTGGCCGCGCGAAATGACTTGAGCGGGTCAACCTCGGCCTTCCTCCCATCCGCAGCCAACGGCGCAGAGGGCGGCGCCGCTGGCTGGCCTGAGTTCGCACCTCCCGGGGAGCTGGCGTCGGCAGCAGGGGCGCGGGCCGTTGCCTGTTCGCCTGGGCCCCCGCGCTGAGAGGGCTCGGCCGCCGCTGGCTATGCAGCGCCCGCGCCGTCGAACTTGCGCCGCTCCCAAAAAAAACCATGCGAGTGCGGTACTCCTGACAGTGCTGATCTTCTTGAGCCTCTACTGCATTGAGAGCATCATGTAAGAGAGTCTTCATCAAAATTGCTTGGTCGCGCTGAAAATTACCGTTGAATGCCTCCGGCTCAGGAAGGCCGATGACTTCACCGAGGTCGAGAGCCACCCCCCCTGCTGAAGGGCCGGGGGGCGGGGCGGCGGGGGCGGTGCGACGCCGAAATAAAATGATCGGGGCTGAAGGGGGCGGGGTGCACTGGGCGGGCGGGGGGGCGTCGCCGGGGGCGGGGCGGCGGGGGCAGCGCGACGCCGAACTCAAGTGGTCGGGGCGGAGGGGGGGGGGGGGGCAGGGTAGAAACGGCGCCGGACGGGGGGCAGTGCGACGCCGAAATGCAGCTGTCGGTGCGGAAGGGGGTCGCGCTGGCGGCGGGGGTGGCTGGCGTGGGCGGGCGGGTGGACGGGCGGGGGGGGCGGGGCAGCGGGGGCGGTGCGACGCAGAAATAAATGGCCGGGGCGGGGGGGGGCGGGGCGCAGAGGGCACTGGGCGGCCAGAGAGGGGAAAGGGTCGGGGCAGAGGGGGCAGAGGGGGCGCGGCGGAGGCGGTGCGACGCCAAACTAAAGTGGTCGGGGCGGAAAGGGGCGGGGTGGAGAGGGCGCTGGGCGGCGAGCGGCGTCGCGCTGGCTGCGGCGGCGGCTGGTCCATAGAGCGGTCGGGGCGGAGGGGGCGGGGTGGACAGGGCGCTGGGCGGGGGGCGGCGTCGTGCTGGTGGCGGCGGTGGTTGGCGCAGAAGGTGGCGGGGGCGGAGAGGTGCCAGGGGGAAAGAGCGATGGGCGGGAGAGCGTATCACGGTGGTGGTGGTGGTGGTGGTAGTAGTGGTGGTGGTGGTGGTGGTGGTGGTGGTGGGGTGTGGTGGTGGTGGTGGTGGTGGTGGTTGGTGCGGGTGGGTGGGTGGAAGGCCGGGGGGGGGCGGGGGGGCGGGGCGGCGCGGCGCCGAAATACAGTTGCTGAGGCTCTAGACGCCCTGTGCGAGATAATAATGTGGTCGGGGCGGAGGGGGCCGCGCTGGTGGTGGTGGTGATTGGCGTGGGTGGGTGGGGGAGTGGGAGGGCGGGGGGGCGGGGCGGCGGGGGCGGTGCGACGCGGAAATGAAATGGTCGGGGCGGGGGGGGGCGGCGTGCACTGGGCGGGCGGGGGGGAGGGGAAAGGTCGCGGGGGCGGGGCGGCGTGCGACGCAGACATACATTGGTCGGAGCGGAGGGGGGCGGGGGGCGCTGCGCGGGCGGGGGGGGCTCGCGTGGGCGAGGCGGCGGGGGCAGCGCAACGCCGACATAGTATGGTCGGAGCGGAGGGGGGCGGGGTAGGCGCGGCGCTGGACGGGGGGCGGTGCGACGCCGAAAAAAGTGGTCGGGGCGGAGGGGGTCGCGCTGGCGGCGGCAGCGGTTGGTGCGGGCGGGTCGGTGATAGGCGGGGGGGGCGGGCCGGCGGGGGCGGCGCGACGCCGAAGTTAGATGATCGGGGCGGAAATGGGCGGTGTGCAGGGGGCACTGGGCGTCTGGGGAGGGGGGGGTCTGGGGGGCGCGGGGCGGCGAGCGCGGTGCGACGCCGAAATAAGATTGTCGGGGCAGGGGGGGGGCGGGGTGCACTGGGCAGGCGGGGAAGGGGGAAAACGTCGCGGGGCGGGGCGGCGGGGGCAGCGCAACGCCAAGTAGAGGTCGGAGGGGGCGGGGCAGAAACGGCGCTGGACGGGGGGCGGGGTGGTGCGACGCCGGAAGATCGCGGAGGGTCACGCTGGCGGTGGCGGTGGTGGTTGGCGCGGGCGGGCGAGCGGAGGGGCGGTCCGGGCGGGGCGGCGGGGGCGGCGCGACGCCGACCTGAAGTCCGTCATCACCTGCAGGGCCGTCAGCAAATGCAGCCGACGACCATGTTAGTGCCTTGGGCCCGGCCTGGTCGTGGGTGTCAGGGCCCAGCGACTGACTGGCTCCTGGCATCCGGCACACAGCCAAGAGGTCATTCCACGTCCAGCGACCACAGGAGCAGACTGTCTAAGGCTGTCCATCCCGACGAGAGACACGACCAGCCCGAACACCATGACGGCCGAACTTGAACCACGGATCATACGTCCAGCCGCCATTGCCACTGCCAAAGGACGAGAGACCTGGTACCATGGCCTCCAGCAGGACCAGGAGCTCTTGATGACAGCGGGAGACTGCGAACACTGGGCCCCTGCAAGCCCCCATGGTGGCAGGAGAACACGCGGAAGCGTGCAGGGCGGACTGCATGCGAAAGAACTGATCTGGCCGCGGACTAGCCGTATCCACTTGCTTCGCGAGGGAAATCAAAACTCTGAGCCCAAATGGCTACGGATCTGCAGACGCTGGGGCGCCTGCGAGAGGGCGGCAGGAGGAGTGGCCTGGCGTAGTGCTGAGGCGCGAACCTCCGCTCTCTGTCCGTTGTTCCTTGCAACCTCCTCGAGGGAGCCTGGCAAACAAAGCAACATGTCTGCGGCATTTAGGTTACACCCCGCGACCATCAATAGAGCCCGTGATGTTGAGCGTTAGAGTGTTGTGCTACGTCTTCGATAATAAAACGGGACAAGGGCGGATATCTGTGCAATGCGTCGGAAAAGAGGTATGCTGGCCACACCCTTTGCGCACAGTGCACCAACGTCGTGACCCACTGGTCTCCATGCTCTGCCGGCGCCTCTGACTAAGATTCCGATGCGCGACCAACAAACCATGCATATATGAGTTGCAGACTACAGCGATGATACTAGAATCCTAATCGCACGCGCTTCGCGCGCGCTTCGGTTGTACCTTGGTCCATGGCGCTCGGAGACAACGCAGGCGAACCAGTCCTGGGCGTGCCCTTGCCTTCTCCCCCCCTTCGCGGTCTGAATCGTCCTGGGCGGGCCCCTTCCGATTCGTGGTCCGGAAGAGCAGCGGGAGGGACAACGGGAGAGGGGAGGGACGGGGGAGAGGAGGAGAGGGGGGAATTGAGCGAGGATCGAGGAGACTCTGGGTTCTGAGCGCGGTTCCTTGGGGCCTCTTGGACAGCTTCTGGGAACCTCTTGGAAGCCATTTGAAAGTCTGTGGGGGCCTCTGGGGGGTCTCTTGGGGCATATGGGAGGCGTCGTGGGGACCTAATGGAGGCCGGCAAATCTTGGGTTGGCGCTGGCTTGGACTCCGGTCACCTGGCGCGCGAACCGCGCCAGGGGCGGCGCCGCAGGCGCCGCCCAGAGGTCCAACGCCAACCAACAACAACCCACGCTGACCATAGAAAATGTGTTCATCCCGTTTCTCTTGGTCGAGCGTCTGGGAGCACGAAAAGCGCGAACCCCGTCTTGGAGGTGCGTAGTAACAATTACCGCTTTCGAAGGTCACGCGAGGATTTAAACCGCGCTCACTGGATTCAGAAATCAGACTGCCGACAGCCGCCGTATCGGCGCTGGAGCTCCCCCCTTGAGAGGAAACAATAAAGGACCAGCTCAGTGGGAGAGACATCGAGTTCGAATCGGCGATAGACCGGCGAGAGCCCCCGACAATCAAACCGCACGTTCCTGGGCGGAGCGGGCCAACGGGCCCCCGTCGACGATGAATGGGCGATTGGGGGTCGATGCGGTCCCCCGTGAGCCTATCCCGATCCCGCGTTTCGGCTACACGCAAGGAGTGATCCTAGGCAAGAGCGGCTTCCAGTGGACGCGGGGGGGGGGCGGGGACAAACCCGAGCGCGGAAGCCGCTGCTTTCGCATCGCAGCCAGCCATATGGGAACCCCAGTGTGCCCACACCAAAAGTGACTCTGGCGAAAGATCACTCTTATCGGCGGGTCTGGGGTTTGGAGGAAGATGGTCCAAACGGAAACGTGCGCGTCCAGCACCTTGGGATACTCCTCCCCCTGCTACGAGCCCCGCCTTGGGATAACCCCCACCGTGGGATAACCACCGCCGAGTTCCTCAACCCCACCTTGGGATACCCCCCCTCTCTACGAGTCCCGCATCTTACGTGTTGCCGACGCTCCCCGCGGCCCGAACGGCCAGCGGCCTCCTCCTCCTTGTCCCTCTGCGCCGCGGCGCCGGCGGCGGCAATCCCCTGGGGCGGCATGGCCGCGGGGAGGGTCGGGCCCCAGGGGGCGGTGGCCCTCCTCGCTCGATGCATCCCACCCCTGAGCTGAGTGTACGCAGACGACATCTGTGCACCACCGCCGCGTCTGCCCGGTTCATCCGAAGCCTCAGGACGGTATTCTCTGCGAGGGGCAGGGGATGGGAGCGTGCCGCGATGGTACAGACCACTCGCCTTGCCAGGCGTCGCAAGGTTGTCCTGCGCACGTGGCCGAGCATCCGGCCATGGAGCGGGGCAGAGACAGGCGCGGGCCTCGGCACGATTCCGTTGCTGCTTGCTGTATGCGCCGGCTGGGGCGCATAAGTCGCGCCCCCTGGACCCTGGACCCTGGACAAGCAGGCGCAAACAAAGGAGTTACCTTTGCCAACGCTTGCCCGGGCGAGCGGCCGAGGTGGAGGAGGAGGAGGAGGAAAGAGGAACATCTAGACGGTGAAAGAAACGAATTAACACTAAAACGCATCAGCCCCTGGCCTGCCAAATCATGGTACGACAGACCCGTATTGGACGGCCTCGACGGCCAAGCAATACAGTCACCATGGCAGGAGCGGATAAGGGGGGGAGGGGGGAGGAGGGCTACGGGGAAGAGGCACAGGCAGGCTGAATAGAAAACTCCGGGAAATACCAGGGAAACTTATAATGCTACACTGTTCTAGCGAAGGCCACCAATGTTACCGGAAGCCGCGCCTGACGCGGAACTCACATCGACTGCAATATCCAAGGTTACCCTAACAGCACTACAGCAGACAGCAAAAAGAGAGGAGAAGAGAGGGAGTGGGCGGCAGCTACTGCCCGCGCGGCCCGCGCATGGTGGCGGACGAGTTCTCGGGTCACCTGCGCCAGCGTGGCCGCCGTCGGGGGAGCCTCGCACGAGCTGTGCCGAACCGTGCAGTGTAGCTTGTGCACCGCCGCTGTCCACACCGCTCGGCCTCATAACACCTCATCGGCGACCCCGCTGGACCCGCTGAAAAGTAACAACTCCTCTACCGGGTTGGTGGCGGCCGGGAGGGCCAGCATACTGGAAGCCAACTGGCGGACGCATCCACACCGAACATAATGCTCAATGGAGTCCTCTCCGCAGCACCCTACGTGTCAGCGCTTGTAATTTATCGCAGAGCTCGCGGGCTCGCTATGGTCGATGTCCTGGTAGAGCCCCGATACGCCATTGGCCTAAACATCGACTCGTGATCGAAGTGGAGGTTCTACCACAGGCTCCCGAAGAGTATTACGATACTCACGCTGCCACATGCGCCTGCACCAGTCCTGGACCTCGGAATCGGCGATCGATTAAAGGAGCCCGCGACGACGCTCAGGACGGTATAGACCAGAACGGTGTGCAGACCCTCCTGGCGTCGGATGGGCGGGCGTACGTATGCACCATACCAAGGCCCCGGATTGCCCTGACCAGACGCGGTGTTGGTGTTTAGATGCCTTCTGCGGACAAACCCCCTGACGTTGCCCCCGACATCAATCCTCGACGCTCGTCCATAGATGTGAGCCGCGCGGCAACGCTGCCAGCCGCTTGGACGGGCCCGGCCAGGCACACGGGCGCCCTCATCTAGGGAGCGGTGGCCGACGCGGAAAGCGGCGGAAAGGTGGGGCAGCGATTATGCCTGCGCGCCCGAAGGATGAAGGGCGGCTCCTTTTGAAACTGGTGCTGTCGCACTGGCGCCACGCACACTCGTCCTAAGAGCATGCAGCACTTAGAAGGATGGACGGCAATACCTTTTCAAAGTGGGGCTCTCGCTGGAAATTTCCTTGGGTTCAAACACTAGAAACTTCAACATGTGTAACCTCATCAAGCCATTAAGGACCCCCCCCCCAGGTTAACATTAGCACCGCACCGTATTTGAATAATTATGGGGGGCGTTTTTTGCCGAACGATATGAATAGTACCGCGCAAATGGAACGAAGACAAATAATTTCCGCGCTCCCGCTTGGGTGGCATCCCAATTGGACTTGGAATAATAATAAGAATGAGAGATAACTACGAGTAGTAAAAATACGAATAAGAGCAAGACAAAATATAATACGAATGCGAATTGAAATAATAATTTGGAAACTAGTAAGAATACGAATGATAAGAATACGAAGAGAAACAATAAGAGCAATACTAAAAATAATCATACCACGAATAAGCATAACAATACGAATGATAGTAAGCTGCATAAGAAGAGCGTGTACTCATTATCTGCATCATCCTTGTCCTATACGACTTGAATTACCCCTGTTGAAAGATTGTTTTTCCCGGCCGTCGCGTGGGGTAGTGCATCGGAGGATATCACCCCCGCCGCGCACGGCGCATTATCTTAGCACAGCACCCGCACAAACTAATTACGACAGCTTGTTCAAAAAGAGAAGTACAATAAAACCAAGATTACTAAATAAAAACACATAAGAATAAGACGAATACTGCTAATAAGAAGAAGAATGCGAATACGAGTAAGTATAATAATAAGAAACAAATCCGAAAACAGACGGGCTCCCCTGCTTCGTTCCTCCATTGCGATCCGGTGCCATCCTATACGAATCGTATGGTGCTTGTCTGGAAATCCCATGCGATCCTGTAGGGTCCTGTAGGGATCGTATAGGGATTGTATAGGAACCCCATGCGATCCTATAGGATGCTATCGAGACCGTATGGTTTTGTATATGAATCCCATGCGACCGTACCGGCTCCTACAGGAATCGTATAGGGATAATATAGGAATCCCATGCGATCATATAGGATCCTATACGAATCCTATAGGGAACGTATAGGAATCCCATGCGATCCGATAGGGTCCTACAGGAATCGTATAGGATCCTATAGAAATCGTATAGTGATTGTTTCGGAATCCCATGCGATCCTGTAGGGTCCTAGCGGAATCGTATAGGGATTATACAGGAATCCCATGCGGTCCTATAGAATCCTATAGGGATCTAATGAGGAATGGATAGGAGCCCCATGCGATCCTCGACGGGTGTGTGGAGCTCCAAGTGGCGCCAGGGCCACGATCATCGAGAGGGTTGTGCCGAAATGAAGCTTCGGTGGAGCTCCTTGTGGGTCAGGGCAAAGGCCCTCGAGAGGGGTGCGCCGAAATTAAGCTTGGGTGGAGCTCTCTGTAGGGCCAGGGCCACGATCCTCGAGAGAGGTGTGCCGAAATGAAGCTTCGGTGGAGCTCCCTGTCGGGCCAGGGCCACGATCCTTGAGAGGGGTGTGCCGAAATGAACATTCGGTGGAGCTCCCTGTGAAGTCAACGCCACGATCCTCGAGAGAGGCGTGCTGAAATGAAACTTTGGTGGAGCTCCCTGTGGGCTCAAGGCCAAGATCCTCGAGAGGTGTGGAGCTCCCTGTGCGACCAGGGCCCCGATCCTCAGGAGGTGTGTACCGACATGAAACTTCGGAGGACCCCTCTGTGAGGCCAGAGCCACGATCCTCGAGAGGGGTGTGCCGAAATGAACCTTCGGTGGAGCTCCGTGTGGGGCCAAGGCCACGATCCTCGAGAGGGGTGTGCTGACATGAACCTTTTGTGGAGCTCCCTGTCGGGCCAGGGCCACGATCCTTGAGAGGGATGTGCCGAAATGAACCTTCGGTGGAGCTCCCTGTCGGGCCACGGCCACCATCCTCGAGAGGGGCGTGCCGACATGAAGCTTAAGTGGAGCTCCCTGTGGGGCCAGGGCCACGATCCTCGAGAGGGGCGTGCCGAAATGAACGTTCGGTGGAGCTCCCTGTGAGGCGAAGGCCACGATCCTCGAGAGGGGTGTGCTGAAGTGAACCTTCGGTTGCTGGTTGCTGGGGGGGGGGCGGGCAACAAGGTCACGTGCCAATCAACATCAACAACAACGACTACTACAACCAAAAACACCAACACCACCAGCAGCAACAGCAACAGCAACAGCAACAGCAACAACGATAACAGCAACAGCAACAGCAACAACAACGACGACTACAGCAACAATCAATTTAAGACTATTCGCCCTTGTCTGCTCGCGTGCCATTCAACACATACTCATCACAAACCCTCGATACCCCCTCTTCGTCTTCGATCGCATCGCCCTGGGGGTAGTTCTTCCTTATCGGCAGCGTGTAAGTAGTGCAAGGAAAAAAAAACGGATGGAAGGGGGCGGGAGAAGGACGGAGCACGGATTAGCAGGCGGGGGGCTCGACACAGAAAACGCGTGGCAATGCCAGACGGGCTGATCGGCCGGGTAGACCCTAATTAGCGGGCGGGTCGGAACGCGGGACCAAGCGGCCAGGTCGAGCTGGCAGGTTGCTGAAGCGTGAGTCCTGCCTGAATCGCGAGGAAGTCTCGAGCGATAGCGCGACTCCCAAGTGAACCGCAAAAAAATCCAAAGCGAGAGATTGATTCCTGAACGTCGAGAGAGAGGCGTTTGAATAACTAAATTGTGAGGATGTCCCACGCGAAATCGCGATTCCATCATAAATTGTAAAGAAATCCCGCGCACGACCGCGATTTTGGAATGAACTGTTAGGAAATATCAGGCGGGAGACGTTGATGTTGTGAATTGGGGGCCGAAAAGCCAATTCGACTCTCAAGACCTTCCGTCATAAACAACAGGGTGCGAGCCCCGAAGACGGCCCAAGAGGCCTCCAAGATCGCCCCAAGATAGCCCAAGAAGTCTCCAAGGGGACCCCAAAACGACCCAGGGGGGCCCAAGAGGCCTCCACGACGGCCCAAGAGGCCCCCAAGACGGCTCCCAGAGCGTGCCCAGACAGGGGACTCGAAAGGAGCGTGGGAACCTTCGGCCCCGGAGCCCCCCAGGAAGCCCCAAGAGCGCCCCAAGAGGCAGCGCCAGTGGAGGCCCCCAAGAGGCCCACAGGAAAACCCAAAAGGCCCTCGGAAGGCTCCCAAGAATCCCCAAAGGGGCTCCGAAGACCCGAAAGGCAACCCCCTCCTCGACCAAATGTTCCGTCCCCCTTGAAGGGGCCCTGGAACACACAAATAAATGTACACAAATAACAGGGTTCCCCATATTTTCACATATATATATATATATAATGGGTTTTTGTCTTCCCCCCCTTCCTATATTTTCCCATACGTTCTGGGGAATCGACGATTCATTGCGTCTGTGTGTTTTCCCCTCCTGGCACCGGTCCTCCTCGCATAGAGGGTCGACGGCAGCAGCCGCAGGGCCTTCACAATACCACCAGCCTTCAACATGTTCCTGCGCGCTCCTGCGGGCCAGCGCTGCCCTTGGCACGGGCTGCACCGGTGCCCCTGCAGCTTCGCACGGGACGCCCGTGGTACCGAGAACGGGGCTCCATAACAGTGTAGGGTGCACAGTAGATTGGAACGGTTCCTTACTGCGAGCAGGTGTACGGTCGGGCCTGATTGGAGAGGACATGCGAGAGGACATAAGACCCTGCCGAGGGCCGCATTGCCACAGGAATGTAAGAGGCGTGGGTCGCGAGAAACAGGACGCGAGGGCACCCTTGATTTGGCAGGGTCGGCTTAGAATTCCGGGCCGACTGCAGTACGTTTTGCAAGGCGCCTTCTGCTGCGCCAGTGCTCGGGCGCTGGCCTGGTGGGGCCACACCTTGAAAGGTCGACGTGGCTCTTCGTGAGTTGCGCGGTGTCCCCACGTCGCCCTGAGGGCACGTCTGGCTGTTCCCCTCCAACGAGAGAAAGACGACGTGTGGGGGGAAACTGCTAGAGTCTGAGGAGGAGGCGTGGGGCGAAAGGAGGAGCGCGCCCGGCCTCGGTGCGCGGCTGGCTGACCAGGGTCACCTGGGGCTCGGCGGGGGGGAAGAGAGGTGGTCGGTCGGTCGGACTCGGCATTCTGCTGAAAGCTCTCACCCCGAGGGGAGCCCAGCCCTGAGCCGACCAGAGCTGCCATGGGGCACCAGGCCCCCCCGGATACAAGCAGAGGGCAGGGGGAGCGGTGGAATGGCGAAGCTAAACGATGCGGAGCAATAATAAGTAAATCCGACACAGAACAGGGAGGGGGAAGGGAAGGGGAAGGGAGGGGGAGGAAGCGGAAACGGAGGATCGAGGGGTGGCCACGGCCACGTCCTGCAGGCCGTAGCCCTACAATGTGAAGAAGAGAGGGATGAGGAAGGTAGAGGAGGGATGAGGAAGCAGGGCGGGCGGAAGGGGGGAATGAGGATCAGAAGAGAGAGGAACAGAGGCGGGAGGATAGGCAAGGACAAGTAAAGGGGACAGGAAGAGAGGAGAGAGCAGGGAGGGAGCGGGGAGGAGGAGAGTGAAGTGAAGGAAGGGGGGAGGAATGACAACGGGAGATGACGAGGAGGGTGAAGGAGAGGCGGGCCTCCTGCTCTCCCCCTTGCGCCCAGACAATCGACGCCACGGCTCTGAAAATCGGGGAACTGGACCAGGCAACGCCGCCCTGAATCGAAGGCGCTCTGCGGCAACTCGAAAGGGGGCGAACTTGGGCTTCCAGACGCCCCCTGCTGGCCCGAAAGGGATCTCTGGAAAACGCAGATGTAAAAAACAGTGTGTCGTATTGTCGCTCGCACCCCACCCTCACCCCGCATGACATCTGGGTGTCGCACACTTGAAAAAATCGCCCGTGTCGGGCCCGGGGGACCCTCGCGGACCGATCGGGCTCGATAGATACAACAGAAAGAGGAGTCTTGGTTTTGGTCGGAACTTCCCACGACGTTGAAGCTTGGCGAAGTAGAAGCTTAGGGTCCCTTCTCTTCCCCATTCGCCCAACCCCCTTTTTGCTTACCCAGTGATCAGATTCTCGAGTTGTTGCGGTTGTTTTGCCAACATCGGGGCGGTTGACGCCACCGCATCCCAGTAGTGGAAGGCCCCACCAGCCACCTCACTCCCCCTGCAACCCACTCATTCCAGTCCCCGGGCCCATCCCAAGGATGAAAACCTTTCCTCCCCCCCCAAAACGCCGATGCATTGTGAGTAATTCGACGCGGGCGATCTGGCGATCCTCATCTGCATTCGCCATCTTTCGGACGCCCATTCCCTGACATGTTTCGGCTTCGTGCGTTTATCCTCGATGCCCCATCGATGGTCGCCGCCGAGTAAAATTCGCACACCCGAGCGATGTCAAGTTTTTGGAGGAGGGCGGAACAAATCATCCTCCCTCATCCCCCCCTTTCTCCCTGCTTCTCCGGCGCTCCTGTCAGCATGAAGCAGTCCTTTCCACTTATCAGGTTCCCTAATCGCTGATCCTCCCCAGAGCTCCTCTTCCTCGTCCATCCCGTGCATTCCCCCCTCCTCCTCGCCCTCCTCCTCCTCCTATTTCTGCTCCTCCTCTTCCTCCTCTTCCTCCTCTTCCTCCTCCTCCTCCTCCTCCTCCTCCTCCTCCTCCTCCTCCTCCTCCTCCTCCTCCTCCTCCTCCTCCTCCCCCTCTTGGCACCACCGCTGCGCAAACGCGCGTCGGGTCGGAGCCCAACCGCGCTGGCGCGCCCGCGGCCGCGGCCGACGGCGCCCGCGCACGATGGACGACGACGAAAGGCCACCCACCACCCGCCAGATCCGAACCCCTGGAGTCTGAGGGCGACGGGGGGAAGGACGACACGACGGCCCGCCCGAGGGCATCGGGGCCTGGGGCCCCCGCCGCTCCCCCGGGCGGGCCACCAGGCGCCAAGGGGGGGGCATTGGGGCTGGGGGGCCCCCGTCGCTCCCGCCCAGGGCGGCAGCAGCCCTACGCGGCCAGGCGCCGCCCTGGTCCTCAGTCCTCGCCATGGCGAAGTGGTCAATGCCGCCATATCGCTGACTTCGACTTCATCCTCCCCAACAGTCAGGCCCGTGTTTTAAGCGTTCGCGCTCTTGATATTCGCCAAGTGGAACAGATAGTTGGGCAAACACTGGGTCCATACCTTCGTATGGTGTGCATCCTCCATGTGGTGTGGTTGTCTACGATCTTCTGATCGCATCTGCCAGCTGTCGTGACATCTCCATTGGGTACTCATTGAGCTTTGCGTTTCTGTATGTACCGTTGGTGTTTCGTCCTGCGCCGATATCATGTTCGTGTTTTTTTTTGTCGGCGCGTGCCACGGTATTCTCGCCGGTAGTGCCCATGATTTGAAGGCTGCACATGATATCTGGAGCATTGTGGCGGGCTTCTTGGAGGACTGTCCGACAACGCACTGGTCAAATGCTACTGGCGCCACATAGCTCCGCATGAGCTGTCGCGTCCCTGGGAGCGACTTGCATGATGCTGCCTTGGTTCGTCATTTCCGTGCTGGATGCTTCATTAGCACCGGTACATGGGATACTGCACAGAGGGCTGCCAGGTACAACGCTGCACGCATAACTAAGTTTCCCAGTTCCACCTGCTGCCGACAGCTCATCTCCAGTCCAGATCGCCCCCATGGAACCTCTGCTGAACGCACTGGCGGTGGACCTTTCTGCTTCCCATCCAGGTCGAGATATCTGGCACCGCAACGTGTTTCGCATGGAGGGCCTGCCAGTACCTCTAGTATATTCCTTGCTTGCTCATTATTGCGGACATGTCTGCCTGCTCCCAGCTGGCGAGGCCAGCAATGTCTGCTGGGTTGACCACGTCCACTGAAAGTACAACGCATGGCAAGTCCGCTCGCGCCTCAATCCAGTCTCTATGACGCTTGCGCCCCGGAACCTGGTGGAGTATAGACTTTCATGTTGGTAGATGCACTGGTGCTGCCCACGCTGGCTTGCCATCGTCTCATCCGTTTTCCTCGTCTGGATGGCCGTATCGATAGCTGTGCATGAGGTGGTTGGTGAATGTGGCCCCCCTCAAGCGCAATTGCCGGTGCTGCGTGTCGATCAGGCCTGCATTCTTGCCTTGGTGCCGCCCATTGCTCACAGAAGCGCCGCTTCCCATGGCGCGGCTTCCGTTGTGGCGCGCCATGTCGAGCTGGTAGCATGGCTTTGGTCGCGCGGCACCCTTGCCTCATGAGCGTGGCGGTGTGGGACTTATCGAGCTCAACGAGGTCGCTCGCCTCCTGGTCGGTTAGGCCAGCCTGTGTTTCCAGCTCCGACTCCAGGCATTCAGGTGAGCGATGCCGCAGGCGCGTTACCAGCATCGGCCATGTATGGAAAGCAATCTTGCAGCAATGGCAACACGCGCCTGTTGCTTGCCGCTGCGCCTCGTCAATGGGGTCGCGGTCTCTTGTTGCATGAGAATGAAGTAGGGGCACATTACGATGTGATCTTCCACAGTCGTAGCAGCATGCCTGTGGTGCACCTGGTTCTGGTGGCGATATCTAACCTTGGGGTCTTTCGAGGGTTGCGTGGAATAAGCGGCGCCCAAATTCCAAAGTATGTTGGTCACGCTGGTGCGTTCTGAATGTGTCCCACGCTTGTCTGAGTAGCAGTCGGACTGCCAGCGGGTCCATGTTAATTATGTTGACCCACTCCTGCGTAGTAATCTGGCACACAAAATCATCGCTGGCCGGTGTCATGCGCCGGCGGGCCCGCGTGAAGTCTGCAGGCAGATGCGATGCCCAGCCATTATTTGACCTTGCGGTGGACCAAGTGGTGTCCAGCAGCTCAAGGAGTACTGTAGGACCAGCTTCCAGGACTGATGTGATGTACCGTGACCGCCGTAGCCAATAGTGCTTCTAGTAGAGGTGGTGACTTCGCCTGGTACATGACCCAATCAGTAGTTCGCCGATGCCCATCATCACTTGGTAGATGAAATGGAAATGCTGAGCGGAGCGTCGTCTGGCATGTAGCCGCGAGCACGTCGGCTTGCTTCCCACCGAGTGTTGGCCAGGTCTCCGCATGATGCACCACGTGCACATTGGCGCGCGTGTCTGGGATCTTGATTTTGGCCCCAGGACTGAGCTGATATAGCCTGTTGATGCTCTGCCTGAGTTGTGCCATGGCGTCTTGTGCTCGCGGAAATTCCTGGCGATCTTGGTGGCTACCATTCCTTCGCAATCGGTGAACGTGACAAGGTGCTTGTACGCAGTCTCGACGCGTGCTGTCCTCTGGTACTTGCGCCTCGTTATCGTTGGTGTTTCTGCCCCGAGCATATGCTGCTTTATTCGCATGGGCCCTGCACCGTGCATCGCTGGCACCATGGCAGTCCGGGTGCACTTGTAGTTGATCTAGAACACACATATCAGGGCCGTATGTACGATATCCATTGCTGAAGCCATTGCACTCTTGAGCTCATCACTCCTCGCCTCAGCCAGACAAAGCGCATCGTCTACGAATGAAACGCCTGTACTCATATTTTTCGGGTGCTCAATAAGCTGCAAATCTAGGGTTGTCGCAATTCGGGTCGGAGTTGTTGAAACATACGGGTTCCTTCTTGAGTAGTTCAGCTGCCATGTCAAGTGGGCGCGTGAACGTAAATTGAAGCGTGCGTCTGCTAGGCTGTTGCCTGGTCTTGTACTTATCTGGATACTGCCGCGCCGTGGGTATTTACCATCCCAGCATGCGTCACCCGATGACTCAAGAAGCTGACGTGCTAGGTACGGCTGCTGCTTGAGGTGCTGCAATGACCACGATGGAAACCACCGCAACCGCAAGTTCACAAAAAGATTCCAGGACGGGCGCAATCCCAAATTTACATTGCAGCGTTTCGCACTTGCACTCACGGTTCACTCTGCACTGCGCGCAGCGCATGCAATTACACGCGCCTTCGCCTTGCAAACATCACCCCAGGAACCATCTTAATAACACCAAAGGTGACCTGTGGGACCTGCGGGACCTGTGGAACCTGCCGGAAGGAAAGGAAAAGTGGAACCTGTGGAACTTGTGGGTGCAAAAGCTGTGGGACCTGAGGGACCTGCGAGACCTGTGGGACCCTT